GGGTAAAAGAAAGTCAGCACATGACTATAACAATCTGATTATTAGTCAACCTGGCATATTGTACCAACTTTTCTAAAGGAGGGAGTAAAATCTATTAGTGACTAGGATTTTGATGGCATTAATAATAGAACAAGACCAAAAAAAAGTCAAGATAGTTATATACTGCTAGATAAAAAGGCATATTAGTAAATAATATACTTTCATATATTAATGTGAATACATGCCCTAAGCATCTGTGTGACAGTCATCCTGTATTTATTACTTCATCAAATATTTATCAAGCACCTTCTTTGTGTAAGATTCTGGAACATGGGGCTGAACAAGACAAAGACTTTGCCCTAATAGAATTTATCTTCTCATGGAGGACACAGTATAAACAAATCAATAGAAATATAAGGTCAGATAATAATAAATGCTATGAAGAAACATAAAATACGGCCATGTGACAGGATGGAAAGAGTTGCGAATTTAGACAGAACAATCAGGAAAGGCTTTATTGCAAAGAGTATTTGAGCAAAGACGCAAAGAAAATGAGAAAAGAAGTCATAAAGAGATGAAAAAAAGAATTCCAGACAGAGGGGAAAACACACAGTCTAAAACAGGAGCATACCTGGAGGTTTAGAGAGCAGTAAAGAGGCTGGTGGGACACGGGATGGACTTATCAAGGGGATAAATAAGAGAGGAGATCAGTAAAGTAACGGGCAAGGGATTAAAATTCTTTTTGGCGGAGGGAGTTATAAGTTACCTGAAACCAGAAGCCATTGGAGAATTTTGAGGACAGAGTGATATAATCTGATGTGAGATGATGTTTCAGATTAGATGACAGAAGGGCAGCTGGTGACAAGTCAGGGACTTTGGGTGTGTTCTCAAATTTGAACCAATAGGATTTGCTGTTGGATTGGATGAGGAGAGTAACAACAACAACAAAAGGAATCCAGGTTGACCCCAAGGCTTTGGTTTAATACTTGGAAAGATGATGTTGACCTTTACCAAAAACAGAAAGAATTCAAGAGAAGCAGATTTGGAAGCATGTTAGGATGTGTTTGTTTGATGCCTATTAGATGTCTAAGTGGAGATGTTACACTGGGGTTTAGAGAGGAGGTTCAGACTGGGGTAATATATATATATATAGATACATATACCCAGATATGTGTGTGTGTGTGTGTGTATATATGTGTGTATATATATATATATATATATATATAATACTGGTATAATTTAAGTACTGAAATGGATGAGCTAACCGAGAGTGGAGAATCGAAAAGCAGAGAAAAGGGAGAGTTCGAGCTCTAGGTATTTTAACATCTAGTGGTGTGTGGTTCGAAGAGAAACTAGCAAGGCAGAAAGAATGACTGGTGAGGGAGAAAACAATCGAGAGAATATGGAATCCTCAAAGTTAGACGGGGCAGGGGTTCATGGAAGTAATAAGTACTCACATATGTTGAATACTGTTGATAAGTCAATTTAGATAGGGTCTGAGAAATGACTTAAAGGTTTAGCTACATGGAAGATAGGGCTTCCCTCATAGCTCAGTTGGTAAAGAATTGGCCTGCAATGCAGGAGACCCTGGTTCGATTCCTGGGTCAGGAAGATTCCCTGGAGAAGGGATAGGCTACCCATTCCAGTATTCTTCCCTTGTGGCTCAGCTGGTAAAGAATCCACCCGCAATGTGAGAGACCTGGGTTCCTTCCCTGGGTTGGGAAGATCCCCTGGAGAAGGAAAAGCTGCCCACTCCAGTATTCTGGCCTGGAGAATTCCATGGACTGTATAGTCCATGGGGTTGCAAAGAGTCAGACACGACTGAGTGACTTAAAAAAAAAAAAAAGAACATGGAAGATATTGGTGATCTTGACAAGATCTGTGCTAGAATAGTCAAGGCAAAACTCTTGACTGCAGAGGCTTCAGGAGAGAATACATGGAGAGGAATTGAAGACAATAGGAATTAACACTGATGGTTTCATGTGTGAGAGTATATAGATACTATAGTTCTGTATCCAGCCAGAATTTGTTTTTCAGTCTAAAATACCTTTTTCATATTGGGAACCATTCCAAGTGACAGAAGATTTAAGTAAATCCAAGTGTCAACATTTACAAAGCCCTTCTGTAGTTTATAAAATATTCTGGCCTACGACTTTAACTATCAAAAGCACTTATTTAAAGCTGGAGAGAGTAGCAAACAAAGACCTTCCAAGTGAGAAGGAATTCATCCTTTACTCTAAAATGAATCTTCAGGAGGGAAGGTTCACACCTTCCTACTCAGTCGGATTCATTCTGCGAGGCTGACAATCAACACGGTTACAAGGTTGATAGTCTTGACCTTGGCAGGGCACTGTTCCCTACACAGAGGATCCTTCCACTTTATGGTGGACTCACTGTGTACTTTCCTCCAGGAAAGAAGGATGGTGTTGTACGTTTCTTGCAGGCCTGGCCATTTGACTGGTTTCATCAGAAATTTCAATATTCCAAGGCAGTATGAGACGGTCCCATCTGGTAACAAGGAAACCATAGGAGAGAGGAAAAGGAACAAAATAGAAGGCTTTTATTGTGTTTCCCCTTTAAAAACAAACAAGCAAACAAACAAACAAAAAACTTCAGTGCCTCTTCCTCACTCACAAATTGCCTTCAAAATAGAAATAAAATGTTTAAGCCTGGCAGTCAAACTCTATTTCAGCTTGCTCCATGCCACCAGTCAAATTATCTTGCTCTTGTCACTATGAGTTGACCTGTGCTGCAAACAGGAGACCCTCCATTGACTTTTGAATCCCTCATAGCCTCCCCTAAGTGGGGACATTTCTTGGCTCACATTTGCTGCTCCCAGGATCACTCACCCCCACTCCCTGCCCACCCTCTTTCTCCACTTCTTAGGGCAGCGCTTGTATGTTACAGTCCTTGTTTTGTCACAGAGATTAGCAGAGAGTCAGATATATACAAACCCTGTACATTTGTATGTATAACTGACCTTGTAGTTAGTTCATCCTCGATCCATTTTTTGGAGAGATCTTAGTCATGTGGGATCTTAGTTCCCGACCAAGTAGAAGTGCAGTCTTAATCACAGGCCACCGGGAAGTTCTACCCTCAATCCTTTAGAGAGGAGGAAATGAAAGCCCAGGAAGATATACTAACAGATATTGCACAGATACACTTTTTTAAAGTCTTAAACAATATAGACGTGAATCACATAAAAGTGCAAGTTTCTTCTCCATTCCCAAATGATCAAGTTGATCATTATTTTTCTTTCCAGATATCAGTCTAGCAGTAGAGAGAGAGAAAAAATGTGTCCCAAAGAGGGCATCAGGTTATATACTTGGTTCTGCGACTTGCTTATTTTTTTCACTTAATATTTCACAAACATTGTTCTGTGTCAGGATATGTTGATGACTTGAAGAAATTCAGTTAGAGAAAAGTCTTAGGTTTTCTCTGCAAGTGGCTGTGAGCAAACTATACAGTAGCTCACAAACTGATCCAGTTAAGCAAAGTAAAAATGCAGGGTATTCTCTTTGCATCCTGCTGTTGTGTTAAAATTGTATAAATCTTAATTATGTTGAACTGGTTCATAGTGCTTTTCAGGTCTACTATCTCCTTCTACTTTTCTGCCTATTCTATTAATTTTTGAGAGTTTGATACTGAAATTCCAACCAAAAAAATCTTAATTTATCTACTTTTTGAGATTGAAACTCCCAGTAAAAATCTTATTTACTTTAAAAATAATTTTTATAGTGGAACTGAATGTAACTCTGTCCTGTATTTCTCACGTCTCCTGTAAATGTGTTATCATAGTTTCATAATTAAAAAAAAATGCAGGGTATTCGCAATGCTTCACCTTCTTGGCACGTTTCCTACAGCTTAGGGACCTGCTGCTAGGAGAGGCACACTCCCCTCTCAGCCCCTTTTCGAGGAAGTATCAAGAGTAGAGAAGGAAATGAGAGTCAGGACTGGGTGCCTGGAGAAAAGGGCGGAATTGAGAATCAGAGAACCCAGGCCCTGGGCAGAACTGGAGCGTCCTTCTCACTGTCTTTCCTTTTCCCTCTGCGGACTCAGCGGTGTGTCTTCCCCTCTTCAGCATGCTCCCCAACTGCTATCTCCTTATTAAACCCTCCTCTCCTAGCATCACTTACCGCCACTGCTTTCGTCGTAGCCCACCGCCCTTGTCTTGTTCTCTTGGGGTGCTAACTTTTCCAGGTCCCGAAAAATATTCTGAAAAATGCCTGGACCACAACTTGGATTTCTCAACTCATCTGTGTCGCAACCTGCCGCCCAGTGCGGCCTGGTAACTGGTGCCCCGAAGGTCGTGCCCCTAAGGCCCCCAGGATCAACGTAGGGAGCTGCCCGGGGGACCCTAACGTGGAAGCCAAGAAGCAACCCATCTCCATCCGGGCTGGCAGCCGGCCCTAGCGGAGTGCAAGGGAGCGAGGTTAGACGCCCAGCTGGGGGCGCAAACGGAGCTCCAGAGGCTGCGCTTCAAACCAGACGCCTCCCCCACCCCCACTTTAAAACATCCTGCTCGCTGTACCCTCAAGTGACCGGGACCCAGCAGCTGCTCACGCAGCGCCCCCAGCCCCTGGACACCTTCTCCATCACCAAGCTGCTTCCTTCCACTCCACCTTCATTATCCTCCCGTCTCCACCCACTAGCGCGCCTCCGTGTACACCCGCGCAGCCTATTGAGCGCTCAAGCCGCTTTCCGGACTTTCGTTTTCCGCTGGAAGCACAACAGAGGCCAGTGCGCGTTACCAAGGCTTTGACCCGGCTCGTAACAAGCCCGGCCGGGCGTCGTCGGCTCGAAGACCAGGGTGGGAGCCAGGCGGGTGCCCACCCGCTCCACCGGCCAGAGGAGGGAAGTGACCCGGCCCGGCGCGCCCCCTCCTCCGCTCCGGGACCGCCCAGAGGCCGGGAACACCTCCCAGCGCCCGCGCACTTGACCTGGGGGGTGGGGGAGGGCCGCGCTGGCCGCCCGCACTGCCCGCGGTCTCGGCCCCGGTGCACAGCGGCCCCGCGAGCGCGATGCTGGCGCCTTGGTTGCTGAGCGCCGGGCTGAAGCTGCTGCTCTGGGGCGGGCTGTGCGTTGTCTCCCTGGCAGGCGCCACCCTCACCCTGAACCTCCTGCAGATGGTGGCGAGCTTCTCGCGGAAATGGCATCAGATGCGTCCTGTCCCGACCGTTGGGGACCCCTACCCCTTGGTGGGACACGCGCTGATGTTGAAGCCGGACTCAAGAGGTAAGGGCGCCGGCCGCGTCCCTATCCGAGGGCCCGGGCTTCCGGCCCGCGCCGCCCGCCGGCCCTCGTGGATGTAGTCTGGACACTGAAGGGCCCGGCCTGCCGACACCGGGAGAGAGAGAATTTGTCACCCACTCATTGGAAGACGGATTCCCAGTCCTATCCAGGTTCCCTATGACACCTGGCAAAATTGCGGGTGCCTCTGGTCCAAATGAACTTTTTCTGCCTGTCCAGCATACATCGCAAGCTTTCTGGGCTCTTGTCCTGCTTTTCTGCTGCTGCTTTTTCCACCCCGTAGCTGCCCCCACACCTCAGGACACTGCTGTCTTTGCTTCTCTCTGGGCTCTTCAAGCCTTTAAGGGCAGAAGCTTCTCTGTGCCTGCGTGCTAAGTAGCTTCAGTCGTGTTCCACTCTTTGTGGCCCCATGGGCGGTAGCCTGCCAGGCTCCTCTGTCCATGGGATTCTCCAAACAAGAATACTGGAGTGGGTGGTCATGCCCTTCTCCAGGGGATCTTCCCAACCCAGGGATGGAACCCAGGTCCCTTACATCTCTTGCGTTAGCAGGCGGGTTCTTTACCATCCGCACCACCTGGAACAAGAGAAATCCCTTAGAACACAGAAGTCTCTCTGTCTCTCTCAAAAGGCACTTGAGGTTCTTCCCCATCCAGACATCACAAGACTTGACCACAACTTTGATTCCTTCTTGACCTTCATATTTTAGCCCTTTTAAGGAGGTTATGTAATAACAACACTTATGGCCAGGCCTTCTTGAAAACTCATGCAGGAAGTTTCAAAATTCTTATTTAAGAGTTAATTTATTTTTATTGAGATCATCTTTTTGAAGAGAGAGATTTATATTGTTTTGTTGATGGAAATGATCGCTTTAAGCTAGAAAAGTCTCAGAAGTATCTGAGATTTGGAGTCCTCCATTAGGAAGGATGAATTACTAACAGATATGAGCACTTTATTTTTAGGGCTTCCCAGGTGGCACCAGTGGTAAAGAATCTGCCTGCCAATGCAGGAGACCCAAGAAACGGGTTCAAAGGGACTGGGGTTCGATCCCTGGGTTGGGAAGATCCCCTGGAAGAGGAAATGGCAACCCACTCCAGTATGCTTGCCTGGAAAAAAATCCCATGGACAGATGAGCCTAGTGGGCTACAGTCCATGGCATTGCAAAGAGTCAAACACAACTAAGAACACACATACTTTATTTTCATGGGGGTATAAATTGAATTACCCAGAGCTGAAAAGATTTGCTCAATATGACATATTTTAAAATAAGTCAGGGACCAGAACTCAATTCCCCCTCCAGTTAATTGTAAATACTAGTGGTTTTACAGGCTGAAGATTAACTGCAATGCTTGAAGGGTTATTTTCCTCTGTTTTCCCAAGCAAGACAATACTGTCATCTTAAACTCACAAAAATACCATGAGGAGTATTTTTGGGAGAGTGTTTACCAAAATACTGAATGTTATTTTAGGGCAGAAGAAATCCAAGTAAACTTTTCACCAGCCAAACATCAAAGTGACTAACATCACAAGTGATCCAACAACACATTTATTTATATCAAAACCACATTTGTAAAATCATCTTGAAAGTGTTAGTTGCTTAGTCGTGTCTGATTCTTTGTGACCCCATGGACTGTAGCCCACTAGGCTCCTCTGTCCATGGGATTCTCCAGGCAAGAATATTGGAGTGGGTAGCCATTCCCTTCTCCAGGGGATCTTTCCCACCCAGGACTGAACCCAAGTCTCCTGCATTACAAACAGATTCTTTACCATCTAAGCTACCAGAGAAGTCCTTAATACTTAAAACCTGAGCTAACTTCCCTTTCTATCCTAAGGCTTTATAATATTGAACAAAAAATTTATGTAAAAATATAGACCTTCCCATCCCCACTAAAGAAACAGTATGCTTAAGGAGTCTCATGTTCTTTTTGAGAATAATTGAAATCTCCACTGAATAAGACCTATTTTAAAACAAACTGTGAGTTGTCTTTGGAATTACTTTCTGAGTGAAGAGAATGACACTGTACTGTCTTTCATAAAGGGCCATTTTAATCCAGCATATAAATACTGGATTTTGGCATTAGGCAAACCTTGGCTCAATTTCCAGCTTTGGAACCAAGTTGTTTGATTTTGGGAAGTTGTTTAAAACTCTTAAGTTAGAGTGGTTTCTTTTTTTTTTTTAACCATGGACTTGAAGTATTACAGAGTAATTTTAAGGATTAAATTTAATGCCTGTGGTTAAATTTAGAGTGCTGTCCAAACTTGGTTAGAATAAGTTCTTTAAGATTGTCAATCATCCATTTATCGAGGCCCTGCTTTGTGCCCAATGTTGAGCTCAACAAAATTGGATATTTCAGAATATTCTGAGAAATATTTCCTGTCCTCGGCATCTTGGCTCACATGGGGCTGTGCCTTAAATTTTGTGGCTGTCTTTCCATGAGCCTCTTGAACTCTAGTAGACTCTTGCTTTTGCTTCTGTGTCATCACCTGTCTTCCTCAACGGCTGCCTGCTACTGGACCTGATACCTTCAAGCCACAGATTCAGACTTCCCTTTCTCCTCTGTCAGATCAGACTGAAGGAGGCAGTGTATCAGCATGAAGTAACCCAAGTGTCCATCCCTGGATGAATGGATAAAGAGAATGTCACACACACTGGAATATTATTCAGTCATAAAAAGAAGGAAATATTGCCATTTGTGAAAACATGGATGAAACTTGAGGCCATTAATGCTGTGAAATGTCTGACAAAGAAGATAAATGTTGTGTGATCTCACTTCTCTGCGGAATCTAAAATAAGGAACTTATTACAAAATTCTTGTCTTTTTTTTAAAAAAAGTATTGGCATATAGTTGATTCACAATGTTATGTTAGTTTCAGGTATGCAGCAAAGTGAATCAGTTATACATACATATATGTGTATATATATGTGAAAGGTTGTTGCCGAACCACGAAAAGACGCTGGAATTCTTGGCCTCTGGAGGAGAAGAATTCAATCCGGGGCCAGAGACGAGGCTTGATCACTCAGAGCTTTTGTGTAATAAAGTTTTATTAAAGTATAAAGGAGATAGAGAAATCTTCTGACATAGGCATCAGAAGGGGGCAGAAAGAGTACCCCCTTGCTAGTGTTAGCAATGGAGTTATATACTCTTAATTAGTTATTACAGTGAATCAAAAGAATGTCTGGAGGTTGTAAAGACCTCACTAGACCTACTCCCATAAGTTACATTTTAAGATAACAGGATTAGCCAGGAGGTTTTTTCCAGAGACTGTCCTCAAGTAGGATACATTATTGTTATATAATCCTAAGGAATGTAGAGGGGGAAAAAAGTTTGCCCTTTCCTCCTCCTTGAGAATTCCAGACCCCTCTCTCCTTGGGGACCCCTAGACTTATCAACCTGTCTAGGAAATGATTCTTTCATATGTATATGTATACATATATATCCACTCTTTTTTTCAATTCTTTTCTCATATAGGTCATTACAGAGTATTAAGTAGAGTTTCCTGTGCCCTACAGTAGATCCTTATTAGACAGAATTCTTGTCTTGATTGATTTTAAGGTTAAATATTTCTCCCAGATTTTTTTCAGCAGATCATTGATTACACTGAAGAATACCGACATCTGCCACTGCTGAAACTCTGGCTCGGGCCCTTACCTCTCGTGGTCCTTTATAACGCAGAAAATGTGGAAGTGAGTATGTGGTAAACATGTCTAATATTCCACTGTCTGTCTGATGGTGTGGGAATCTCATTAGATGTGGTCATTTTCCACATTCACCTGCCTCTCCCCATTTCCCTCAGTAAATTCTCTATTCAGTTCCTAGTTGCTGGCAGAAACCAGGAATCATCTTGGGTATTTTCTTTCAATTCCATTTAGTCCTCAAGACTGAATGACAGTTATATGTTCACAACTCTTCATTGAATTTCTTTGAGGCACAGGAATAAAAATGAATCACAGAGAAATAACAATTATGAAATCTTGTTTTAAAAAGTAGTTGTGTTCTAGCCAGATGTTCTTGTAATTGATATCATTTTGATGTCTATATCTCTCAATTTTTTTTTCTCTATTTAAGGTAATTTTAAACAGTTCAAAGCACATTGAAAAATCCTACATGTACAAGTTCTTAGAACCGTGGCTTGGACTAGGACTTCTTACAAGGTATGTCAGTGGAAATTTGTAAAGCTGTCTTATAGAAACAGCTTCTTCTCTGGGTAACTTGTTATTTCAGGAACTGACCCAAAGTATTCTTCCAATAACAAGACTGAGCTCTTGAGAATAATGGGAGAAAGTGGAAGGAAAAGTCTAGTTAACAATGGGCCTTTGATTGACAGGAGTCCTGGATATATGGTAATGTCCAGGCACTGTATTCAATAGTGATAATCACTAGTGTTCCAAGAACAATGAGGAGGTACTGATACATGAATGGAGTAAAGCATAGTTTGGAAGAGGGAAATCTTGAAAATATAATGAAAAAGCAGTCACATCCCCCCAAAGAAGTATATCAAACATAGGGACCTCAATTCTTGAGTTGGTTCAGAAACAGGACTCCAGAAAGATAGGACCCTTGTGGGGACTTTAGATAATTCAAGGATAATAGAGATTAAAGTAAATCATGGAGCAACTGATCGTCTGAGGACTATGGTATTGATAAAAGGGAGAAAAATTATAATCTTTAGAACCTCAGAACTTAGAAGTTTAGGAAAAATTTTAATTGTTTCCATTTTTAATAAATGCCTTTGTAAATATTAGTAATATAGAACAGTATCCAAAATATTCAATTCTGGAACTATACATGAGTCTTTATCATTCTGATCAAAGCAATTGAGAATCTACAGAATAAGCTATTTCAGGAGAACTTGGTGACGATTATATTTATATTTTATCTGTTTCAGATGTTGCTTCTTTTTTCTTTGTAACCATGTATTGTATTTCTAGTACTGGAAACAAATGGCGCTCTAGGAGAAAAATGTTAACACCCACTTTCCATTTTACAATTCTGGAGGATTTCTTAGATGTCATGAATGAACAAGCAAATATATTGGTTACTAAGCTTGAAAAGCATGTTAACCAAGAAGCGTTTAACTGCTTTTTTTACGTCACTCTTTGTACCTTAGATATAATCTGTGGTAAGTCTCACTGATTTGTTTTTAAAGTTAGGCTGTAAAGATAAAATGGCCCAAATAGAAAATAACAGTTCATGGTGTGTGTGTTGTGGGGGGGCATTTAGAAGGGATTTTGGGTTCATCTGGATAGTCCTATTGCTAAATTAGCCTCCTAAGAAGCAGTGGCCATTCATAGGACTTCAAACCCAGCAGTTACGGAGCCAACATGACCAGCAGGTCAGGGGGAAGGAAGGGCAGGAGCTGGGAGGAAGAGAAGCAGAAGATTTGAGAGAAGAGAGAAAAGAAGAATTCTGCAATATATCAGAACAGGACAAAATGTCTTTTTTTAAAGTGTCTGCCACTGGAAAGTGTGCCCAAGATGTGTGCATGAATTGAATGGTTACTTCTCACTCTATTTTACAGAAACAGCTATGGGAAAGAGCATTGGTGCTCAAAGCAATGATGATTCTGAGTATGTTCGAGCCGTTTATAGGTAAATTAAATCCTTTCAATTATTTCTAAAACTGTTATTGATTAGGGTTTAAAAATTATTGCCAATCACTTCTGTCTATATTGTATCTTTTTCATCATTTCAAAATGAAACATTATACTAAAAATCAACCTAATCAATTAAAGCATGTATTTCAATAGTAGAGGAAGAGTTGTGTAAATTATAACACAGTAATTTAAAATGACTATTTTATAATATACTGAGAGATTATATTATGATGCTAAGTTGTAAGAGAAAGATATACATTTTCATGGAAAAATGAGAAGATACCACATCAAAGTGTTAGCTGTGTTTATTGTTGTTGTATGTGTGCTTCTTTTTCTTATTGTGTTTTATTTGTGTTGTGGTTCATTCTCCTTTCCTGTATTTTCTACACTTGAGTATGTATAGAAATAATCAACTTTACTTTTAAAATTGCTCACGATTATTAAGAGGCAGAGACAGGATCTGATTCAACATATCCTATGTTTCATCCAGTGCTCATTTCACTTAATCTTATTAATTGTTGAGCATCTAACCTGCCATCCACTGCACAAGGTACTGACTAGTTTCATACTGGGCACATGAAACAGAGTAAGGGGAGACAGGCATTGAAGCAACTGATAAGATAATGACTTGAAAAGAAAAGATCAAGTTGATGTGAGAGGGGGAGCAAGGATACATTTTACAGATTGAGTGGCCATGAAAAGTCCTTTTTGTGGAACTGGCATCTAAGCTGGTCACAAAGGAGGAGGTTATGTAGGTCTTTCTGCTTTTCACTGGAAATGCTGAGGGTGGTGCACGTGACAGCTATGTGACAGATGGGGATCAATGAGCACTTTTCCGTGGAAGAGGGAAGTCAGTTGTTTTGTCGGCACTGCCGAGGAGTGAGCAAGCGAATGAGTGGACGTTAAAAAGAGGCAGATTTCATATGATCTTGTGGTGCAAGAGCTATGCGTGACCTGAGGAGGGTAAGAGCTCTCCCTGGAGAAAAAGAAGCAGAGATCAGATGGTCATCTGGTAAGAATGTTTCATAATGGATTCTTCATTCCTCCCAAGAATGCATTCAATGTTTAAGCTTCCCTGGATGTATAATAGTCCATGACTTCATGTTGATGGTAAAGCCTGGAGTTCTCAATAGCCTCTAAAATGAATCATCACCATTCCCCATATCACCCACGCTGAGACGGGGCATCACATCAGGGGTCAAGAAATACACATTTTCAATGTGTCAGCTGATGTGTTCTTATCCTGTTTATAGGATGAGTGATTCGATACATCAAAGAATGAAGACGCCCTGGCTCTGGCTTGACCTTGTGTTCTATATGTTTAAAGATGGACGGGAACACAGAAGGAGCCTAAAGATTGTACATGATTTTACCAACAATGTAAGCCCTTGATTTTTTTTTTTTTACTTGTGATAAAACATACTCAACATAAAACTTACCATTAAGTGCATTCACGATGTTGTGAACCATCGCCAGTCTCCACTTCCAGATCTGGACAAGTCTGAGATTTTTATGTTGTGTTACCATAGTCTGGAACCTATGTCTCATGAAAGGTGAATAATAATGGGAAAAAGTAGACAGCACGATTGCATCTTAATTATGTATTAGCATTATGTATGTGGTTACTGGCAGGAGACATTGGATGAATGAAGTTTTAGATCAAGGTGGCCACAGTGGAAGACAGAGTATTCTCCATTACTGGGTGGTGGCAGCATGACCAACAGTTTGTATCTTTTAACTATAATTAATTATTTTCTCAAATTACATGCATTACTATCAATACCAATAATTAATGAACTGTAAATTGGATGGACAATACTATTTCTTAATAAATACTGAAAATGGAATACTGAGTGCCAGGCACTAGGAGTTACCCCAAGGATGAAGAGAAATATGGTGTTCTGTCCCCAGAGAACTTGGGATCCATTCATTCAGACCACTTAGCAGCAGGTTTGGTCAATTGCTTGATAGGAGGAGAAAGTTGAAATACATGACCAAACTAAATTTATGGGCTTTAGTTCTTTTATTCACTCAGAAAAGATCTAACGAACATCCTTAAATGCCAGGCAGTGCTCTGAAAGTGAAAGTTGCTCCGTTGTGTCCAGCTCTTTGCAACCCCACGTACTGTACAGTCCATGGAATTCTCCAGGCTAGAATACTGGAGTGGGTAGCCTCTCCCTTCTCCAGGTGATCTTCCCAACCCAGGGATCGAACCCAGGTCTCCCACATTGCAGGCAGATTCTTTATCAGCTGAGCCACAAGGGAAGGGTGGGAATTACATCAGTGAACAAAGACAGATTTGCTGCCATGGGGATGCTATATTTGAGGTATGCATTATATTATACAGCAAGTATAATATAATGTCAGGGGGTGAGTGAAATGAAAAATATAGTTAGGAAGATAGTGAATGCTGGGGACCGGGGTAGCAGTGATCTGGGAAGGTCTTTCTGATAGTGTGCAGAGGAGACAGACCTTAAAGAAGGAGGGAGCCAGCCACACTGGTGTCTGAAGAGAGAGACTTATAAGGCAACAGGAATAGAGACCACATCAGGTGACGTAACCTACGAACTTGCTGTTTGTTTTCTCCAATCCATCCAGTAATGAGAGCGATCCATAATTAGCCTATTATATAATGACTGCATTCTCTTCACCACCCAAGCTTTTTCTCATTAGCTCATTCAAATCTCTAGGGCACCATTTAGGGGACTACCAAGTCTATTCCCATGTTAGAAGGATGGCACTTGAATATGCTGGATTTGTCTGACGTTAAATTTGTTTTTAAAAGTCTTATCAAATAATGCCCTAAAATGTTAACAGGAAGCTTTTCTATATTTTCCACAACAGCCTAAGTTATTGTTGAGTCAGAATAGAAAAGGTTTAGAAGAAAAAATCCATGAAAGAAACTAGTATATTTTCATGGGAAAATGTATTACAGGGCTATATCAAACTCCACACAAGAGCATATTATTTAAATCATACAGGTCATCACTGAACGGGTCAATGAAATGAAGAGACATGAAGAAGGTACAAGTAACGACAAGGAGAAGGACTTTCCTCCACACAAAACTAGATGCAGGGCTTTTCTTGACTTGCTTTTAAACGTGACTGATGACCAAGGGAACAAGCTGAGTCATGAAGATATTCGAGAAGAAGTCGACACCTTTATGTTTGAGGTATTTTATCTTGTCACACCATTTTTGGGTATCATTTAAAAAATTCCAGTTACGTTTTTGAATCTTTAGCATTATTTTTAAAAGTTTATTCATTTTAAAATAGCCTCATATAACTGAGGATGAGTCACTAAATTACAACTAGAAATTACAAAAGAACCTGATTAAGTTATCAGATCAACTTCCTTCTTTAGAAAAAGCCTTTGACTTGTGGTGAGTAAAGCAGTTTTCTCAGGATAACCTAAAACCCATCAGACTTTTCCAAGTAGAAAAGCAGCCAGAAATTTCTCAGTTCCCTGTATTGCTTCATTCTTAAAAAACAAAAACTCTGAAACCCACACGTCTGTCTTTTCACTACCTCCTTTTTGAAGTTCTAGCAAATGAGATCCTGCTATGAGCTGCCCAAACTAAAGAAGATTAGCAAGAGCCCTCTGATAGCGAATTTAACTAGTTTGTGGATTCTAAAGGGATTTCTGGTCTTCACATCATTAAAAGAAAGCTGTGGTTTTTACAAAAGGTAATTCTAGTGTTATTAAATATTATAAAGAATGAATCGTTCAGTGGATGGATTGCCAAATAAAGATGAAGAAATGTTTTAAAAAGTGCCATGTGGTAATATCTCGGGAGGAAAGTGAAGTGCACGGGTAGTTTAGGATGGCTCAGTGCAGGCCGCCCTTGGGTGGTGTGAGCCGCCCTGCCCTGGGCGTCTGGGGACAGTGCCGGAACACACATGCTCCTGAGGGCACAGTGTAGGAAAGCAGGCTGTGCTGAGTGTCCCTAGACCTGAGTTCTCCTTCTAGCTCTCTCCTGATTAGCCTTATGAGATGCTGCCTGTCACCCCAGATCCTTGTCACAGCTTCCCTATGCTCAGCAGGCGTCTCTTACTTGTTTGGATCAGGCTTCCACTTCCAAATTCAAGAGCAGTTATTAAGAATTCCTTCTGTGGCTTTGGTGAACAGCTGAGTGAAAGGGGCCAGATCTTGTCTGGAGTTCAGGGTGACTTCCGTGAAGGCACCGCAAGCCTGAGAAGAGGTACGGACACCAATATCATGGACTCCAAAGATACATGTTGTATAAAATTGCAGAATAAGCCTCAAGCAATTCAACTTAGAGGCTTCCCTGGTGGCTCAGTGGTTAAGAATCTGCCTGCCAATGCAGGAGAGGTGGGTTCGATCCCTGGGTCGGGAAGACACCGTGGAGAAGAAATGGCAACCCACTCAGTATTCTTGCCTGGGAAATCCCATCAACAGAGGAACTTGACAGGCTACAGTCCACGGGGTCACAAAGAGTCAGACACAACTGAGTCACTCAACAACAACAACAACAAATTCAACTGAGAAGCTGTTTCAGGAAGCAGGTGCTTTGGCGATTTCTGCCCAGAGAAAGACAAATGATAATCCTCACTTGCGTTGCATAGAGAAAATGGAAAAGTAAGTACTTCCACAGAGGAATAATTTTGTCTTTAGTGCCCCCTAAAAGTCTTATTCATAGAGCTATACTATTATTCTTGATTTTTCAAACAATTTTTTTTTCTGAAGAGCTCAGGTAAAAAATTTTTGGATCTGTTTTTAATCTCTAAAATGTAAATAGCAGTATCAAGTATTTCACGAAGTTTTTCTGAAGAATAATTGAGTTAGTTTCTGCAAAGTACTTAGTATATTGCCTAAAGCTCAGCCAGTATTACAGGAGGGGATACATCAACTTCTGAATGTGGAAGATGTTACTCAGAACCACACTTAGACTCCTGGCCTCCAGGATCCATAGGTAAAGCCCTCCTTACAAAGGCTAGAAGGTGGAGGAGTACAGGTCTGGCAGATTGGCTCTTGAAAGTCAGACATTTCCCCTTAAAAACTGTCTAACAAAGCACCTTATCCCCTTGGGAAAGTGAAAGTGAAGTCGCTCAGTCATGTCCAACTCTTTGCGACCCCGTGGACTGTAGCCCACCAGGCTCCTCCATCCATGGGATTCTCCAGGCAAGAATACTGGAGTGGATTGCCATTTCCTTCTCAAGGAGATCTTTCTGACCCAAGGATCGAACCCAGGTCTCCTGCGTTGCAGGCAGATGCTTTAACCTCTGAGCCACCAGAAAGCCCAAAGGCTCCCTTATTATCACAACCCAGCCACTTCTCACCATGTATGCAACCTTGTGTGGCGTTGAAATGCCTCTCTAAGCATGAATCTCCCCTTTGAAGGGACTCTTTTGTTTCTTATCAAGGTGAAATACTGCACCCACTTAATTTATTATGTTTGGAGTCATGGTGCAGTTGTCAGATCCAGACAGTTCAAAATGGAGTTCTCTCTTCTAATCTTTTCCATACGACTCTGCTAAGCTATTTTTCCTTGCATTTGTAGGGCCACGATACAACTGCAGCTGCAATAAACTGGTCCTTATATCTATTGGGTTCGTATCCAGAAGTCCAGCAAAAAGTGGACAGTGAACTGGAAGAAGTGTTCGGTATGTTCAGCCCCTTCACTAGTTACACGGTGGGTACCATGTCCACTGAAGCAAGAGTTGTTCTCACTCAGAAAGGGTATGCAGTAGGATCTGTTCTAAAGGTACCACAATAGGCAGGAAGGCTCCGATGTGGGGTTCCTTCCAATACCAGTTTTCTTAGCAAGGCCTGGCTAAGAATACAGGCATTTGCTAAGTGCCTGGCATATGATGCACAGATAAATGGTACAATCCTCAGGCATCTCACTGCTTAATAGATGAAGCAGATGTACATGCAAAAGCATTGAATAATGGGGTCAAGGAAATCTGTTTCATCCCTCATTGTACCTAGCCACAAATGAGAGAGAAGATGCATTAAGCTGCTAGGATGTACATTTCTATTACACAGCCAGCAATCTGCAGGCTGATGCCAGCAGTGACATCATCAGATTCCCAGCACCCCAAAAGGAAACTCTGTCTCATTACTTGGCCACTCTCCTTTCTTCCCTCAGGCCCTGGCAATCTCTAATCTGTCTCTAATGGGACTTACTACCTGTTCTGGGTACTTCCTGGGCTTTCCAGGTGGCTCAGTGGTAAAGACTCCACCTGCCAATGCAGGAGATGTGGGTTGGATCCCTGGGTACGGAAGATCCCCTGGAGGAGGAAATAGCTACCCGCTCCAGTATTCTTGCCTGGGAAATCCCACAAACAGAGGAGCCTTACAGGCTACAGTGCATTGGGTCGCAAAAGAGTTGGACATGACTTAGCAACTAAACAACAGAGTACTTCCTATAAATGGAATCCTACAAATATGTGATTGTTGGTGTCTGGTTTCTTTCACTGAATAGATCTCATTTTATTTTGATTATGGGTAATATTAGAGATTCTACTTTAGCTATAGATATTTAACATTCAGTGTTTTGATGTGTATTCTTCATCAATATCCCATCTCCCAAGCTCAAATAATACTTTCATTGTTATTCTGTGTATTGTTAAAACCAGGGAAGTCTAACCGTCCTGTTACCCTAGAAGACCTGAAGAAACTTAAATATCTGGAATGTGTTATTAAGGAGAGCCTTCGCCTTTTCCCGTCTGTTCCTTTCTTTGCCCGTAATCTTACCCAAGACTGTGAAGTTGGTGAGGATTGTATAATTTGAATAGCAGGGAGAGTGGGTTATTTTTATGGTCTGTCTTGCTCCATCCTCATGGCCTATTGAATACTTCTTGACAGTGGGTTACAAAATCGTGCAAGGCTCTCAAGTAATCATCCTGCCCTATGCACTGCATAGAGATCCAAAGTACTTCCCGGATCCTGAGGAATTCAAGCCAGAACGGTTCTTTCCCGAGAATTCGAAAGGACGTCACACATACGCATATGTGCCCTTCTCTGCGGGCCCCCGAAACTGTATAGGTCTGTATCCACCAGAGCTAGTCTCACCTTTCAGGTTGGCAGGGCAGTCGTGGTTTTCTTACAAAAATTTCTTGAGATATAGCATCCCATATGCAACTGTCTTTTAAAAAAACTGTCTTCCTTTCCCCTCCTCTTTGCTACACATTGTTTTAAAATGTGACTGTCATAAAGTTTATTAGTTTTCTGGTGCAGCCATAGCAAAGTACCCTACAGTGTGTGCTTAAGCCACAGGAATTTATTTTCTCCCAGTTCTGGAGGCTAGAAGTCCAAGATCAAGGTGACAACAGAATTGGTAATAAGCTTCTCCTTAGCTTATTGGATCCATGCTGCTCTTCTCCCTGCATCCCTACACGGTCTCTGTGGGTGTATTCTAATCTTTCCTTTCCATAAGGATACCAATCAGATTGGATTAGGATCCACCCATCTGACCATTTTCATTTAATTACTTCTTTAAACGTCCTGTCTCCAAACACAGGCATAATTCTTTCCTTGGTAGACGTTGACAATATTATAGCTTTTAGATGAAAAGAGGATATACTTCATATGGTAGAAAACTTATGTGTAATGATGTGTTATATTTAATTTCTGTTTGTTGCTTTTAAGAACTTCATTTTGGAAAACCAAAACACAAAACACCACAAGGCCAGCTGAAGTGCTTAAACAAAGCGAATGCACATCACCAAGTGTTATAAACACACTCAGCTTCCGAATCTCTAGCATTTTATCGTTTATGCAAATACAGGCATTCATATAGTAAGACCAGATTTAAATGGGTGAGTCTGAAGCTTATTTGGTGACTCTGTAGTAAATTAAATTAAAGGCTCAATAAGAAAGTAGTCTAGAATAGTGATTCTCAGGCTTGAATGAGCCCAGGACGCTTTTGCTAAAATATAAATTCCTGGCCCATCTCAGCTGTTCGGATGTACTGGGTGGGAGAAGGAAAGGGCACTCAAGAATCTTCATTTTTAACAAGCATCCCAAGTGATTCTGATTCTCCCAGGGCCCATTGCAAAAATACAAAATTGTTTGCTTCCTCTGATTAGACTTCTGATTTCTCACATTTAAGGTATATCTATCTAATGACGTTGGTATTTACTTTAATTTGAAGGTCAAAAGTTTGCCATAATGGAAGAAAAGACCATTCTTTCCTGCATCCTGAGGCACTTTTGGGTAGAATCCAACCAAAAAAGAGAAGAACTTGGTCTGGCAGGAGAGCTAATTCTTCGTCCAAGTAACGGCATCTGGATCAAGTTGAAGAGGAGAAACACAGATGAATCCTAACTGTATTACTGAGTTATGCTCTTATCATAAAAAAGTCTTTCTTTAAAGGGAACTTTTCATGTACAATTTGTAGATCATGGATTCAGTATTCTTAATCCCTCAATTTAATTTTTTTCTTGTCGCATTTAGCTTAGGGTCAAGTCTACCAAAGCAAGAGTTTCCATATCTTCATCACCATCATAGCTTTGAGTCCTGGTCTTGATCCCAAAAGATAAATTAACTGATGACCGTATGCAAATGAACATATAAAAACCTCCACAGAAGGATCCACAGGCCAATTCCATTCCAATCAACAGAGCCAAAAGATATAATTTAAATGAAGTTCTAGAATATCTTTAAGATGTTCTTATTGACTCAGGAATAAATATTTGCATGTACACATATACATTTGTTCAAAAAGGCTATGTAATTAAGCACTATGACTTAAGGAGCTTAAATTTCAAGAATTGTATCAGTGGCATCAGTTTTGGGGAGAATAATCCTTATGATACTTTTCAAAGAGTTAATCATACACAGTGGATCATTTATAAGTTCACTCATAGATTCTGTTCCTCTTTCCCTTTGGACTGTGTACTTATAGCTTTCCTTTCATTTTTCAGAGCATCACAATTACCTTTCTATATTGTATATTATTGGGAGAGATTCCTCCTGGTAATCTCCAGTGCCTCACCATGCCTCAGGGAATTGATTGGGAGCTCTAAGGTTTTGGAAGGTCTAAGGACCTTAGAGATTTTCTAGTTATGCAGTGGCCTCTCCCTGTCTACAGGTTCTGAAACCATGGATTCAACCAAGGACTGATTGAAATTATTTGAAAAAACAATTCCAGGAAGTTCTGGAAAGCAAAACTATTTATGAAGTATTCACATTGTATTCACAACTATTTACATAGCAGTTACATTGTATTAGGTATTGTAAGTAATCTAAAGATGATTTAAAGTATAGAGTTGGATGTGCAGATCCATGTACAAATGCTACACTATTTTGTATAAGGGACTTGAGCATCCATAGATTAGTGTCTGTGGGGATCCTGGAACCAATCCCTTGTGGATACCGAGGGTACTCCCCCTTAATAAAACAGGCTGAGTTCAGGGGAAAGGTAAGTCCCAAAGCCATACCACTAGTGGGTGATGAGGCTGGCGATGGAGATCTTTAAATCTCTCCACTCCCAATATGGTGACACTTCCACAATAGGATCTTGCTTCATGGCACCCATGTCTAGATATGTTATTAGAATATAGATGTTCTGCCTCTGATTTTGGCATATTTCCTCTTCCATTATTAAAGGAAAAGAGAAGCCATTCATCTATATTAAGTAACCCAGTCACATCTCACTTAGTATAGGGTTAGACTTCTAGTAAGTTGAATCCATCAGGACATACCTGTCAAGCTGACAACAGACACCCATTCCCCAAATTTTAATGCCATAGACAACATCTCTAATCCCTCACTCAGTGACTTTTTAAAAACTTCTTTTATGAAATAATTTTAATAAAATTGTTTCTTCAATTTTCCAAGACAATACCTGATAGAAACAACAAATTAAGAAGATGCATGATGTATTCTTCAATGGATATCAAATAAAAAACAAAATACAAAACCAAAACCACTTGGGAAGCACCACAGGCTGAGGTACTAAGGGCAGGGTCAGTAGATCTCCCCACTTTCATATCCCAGAGACCCCAGTGTGGACCACCCAGCCCCTAAGCTGAGCAGAAAAAGTCAAGAACATATAAGATATAAGGAAAAGACTTCCATCTTATGGTTAACCTTCTTACTTAAAAACTGGGTATGTGTAGAAATCTTGCTCCCCAATGACCCTGGATAATTGGAATTTTATTTGTGGAAATTGGTCTTATTTCTGAATTTCAGGCACTTATATGTAAATCTTTGTGTGTGCTTAAGTGACCCTATAATATGATGTAAAGTTAAATGTAAAGTAAAATATTGCTACATGTTGTCTTTTGGTCTAAAATCTTCATTTAGCCTCAGAATAATTTGTTTATTTTTTTTAACCTGGAAATTCTCTGAAACTGTGTCAGAGTTGGAACTGAGAAATATGTCATCTTTTGTAATATGGGAATGCAGGTGCTGATTTTTTTAAATACAAGGATGATCAAATATCTATATCCCTATTACCTGTCTTCTACTCAAAAGAGGTAACTCAAGAAAAATAAATTACATTTTAAACATGGGTGCTACATTTTATCCTAAGAGTTGACATCAGTTGGAAATATGGATAACTTTAAAGAATAGTGGATGACTGATTCATAATGCAATAAAAGTATTAGTACTTTTGAGTTGACATCATTAGTGTCATTCATACTTTCTAACAAAATGATGCTTATGCTGCTATCATAGACTGATTTCAAGTTTCTCAATTTGAAGCATAAACTAGAGGAGAAGCAGAACTCCCAGAACGTTTTGTTCATCTGGTAGCAAAAAGTAAAATCCCTCTTAAGGGCTCCCTGGGAGTAAGCAAAAACCATAGCATCACTGGGTCCCAGGGGTTTACAGCCTAGAAACCTCTCCAGGAGGGGACCTATTGAACTGACACTCTATTCTCCATCACAGACAACCAAGGAATGTCAATTTCTGAACCACCTGACCTGTCTCACAATGAAATGCTGGTCATAAAAAGGTCAGTTTTTACCCTGGAATGTATTTGGATCAATCAAATGTATTTATTTCCAGCATCTAATGAGATGCTGATAGATACATTTAACTTCATTTACTCTGCCTAGAGATTCCCTCTTTCTAGGAACAGCACCTTCTTTATTTTTAGAATTATCCTGTGATACCCCCGCTTTCTCTTCTTCTCCTTTTGCTTCTTTAAACCACACCCACTGTAAATATGTGGTTCTAGAGCCAGCCATGGAGAGCTCCCCTCCTGCCCAAAGGTTCTCACACTTTGAATCTCTAGGACTTTTATGCTGACAGCAGAAGCAAGCTCTCTTTTCAAAGGGCTCAGTGGTAAAATTAGGCACAGCCATATAATCCCCATTTGATTAGTTACTAAAACAGTTTAGTAACCTTAATTATTAATACATCTGCAAAATTGTGTTTGTCCTGTAACATAAAAGTAATCATGGACAAATGCGGTATCCCATTTTCTTTGATGTCTGGGATGATAGAGGGAAGTCTTGGGGAACATTTTAGAATTCTGCCTACCATTGCCTCTTTTCAATTTCTTTCTGATCTGCTCCTTCTGAATCCACAAGCAAATCTTTAGTTTTATTATATTACAAGAACATACGTTCCACTATAAGAAAAATTCAGAAGAAACACAGGAGTATATTTAAATAGATTTAAACCAGTAATCGCACCATTTAGGGAAACAACTTCTGAGGGTTTCTGCTGTGATCTGGAGAGAGGGCAGTTTTTTTCCAGTCACCTTTTTTTTCCTGATGAGGCTGGTAGCCAATGAAATCACCAATCTAGATTCGTTAATACTGCACAAATCAGAGGATTCCCTTTTGTTGTTTGCTGGTATGTCAGTTGGTATATCCCAATTGGTATATACTGGATATACTGGTATATACTGGAATATACCGGTATATACTGGATGCTGGTATATCCCAAATTTAAATGGATATTTAAATATGCAGTATGAATATTTGAAATATGCTACTTCATTACAGCCAGAAAAAATGTTTTGTTGGCAATATTTTCCTACATTCTCAATAAACACAGTTCTGCATTGCAGTAATATGCATTAAATATTTATTTAAGAACTCCCTAAAAATCTAATTTACTAGCCAGAAAGATGTACTGCATCTTTGAAGAATAGTTAGAAAACAAAGGAGATTTAGTGGGCAAGGGATTGTAGTCTTTACATATTTTTAAAAGTACAAGAAAGAGAGTAAATCATTTCGTATAGATATAATAGGTCAATCTAGAATGATGGATAGAAGTGGCAAGGAGATATATTTCAGTATATAGGGAGATTTTTTTCTTAAAAATAAAAATAAAATTCCCTGAACAAGAATAGGCTCCTAGGAAAACCAGTATGTTTCTTTCAGGTCTAGGTGTCCTGATAGAGAAGACTACACTCTATGCTAGGAGTGCTAACTTTATCTTAAGGGGGAAGATAGTAAATCTTTTCAGCTTTGCAGGCCATACTGTCTCTATCACAACTATTTAACTCTATAGGGTAAAAGCAACCATGGATAATACAGGAATGAATGAGCATGACTGTGTTCCAATAAAGCTTCATTTATAAAAACAGGCACTGGACCAGATTTGGTCTGTGAACAAACTGTCAAACCCTGCTCTGTTCCATTTCCTGAAATGGATGGGAGGAAGTCCTAAACATTGGTCCATTCCATCCTACAAACCTCACTGTTACAGGAATCCTTCATTAGGACAAAGGAAGGCATGGATATCATTTGCTAAAAGGCTCATCATGACTTCCAGGAAGATGAATCCCTTTCCACCCCCTTATTCATATGTATCCAGGTCATTATATTGGAAATGTCTAGTTAGATATATTATGAGCCCCAAATAGCTAGGAATGTTGGGGACATTTTTAAAAATGGAACTGTGTACATGAATTTTGTGGTGCTATTATGAAATAGTAAACATATTAAATAGTTGAACACAGAAATGGGATGTTCATAGAATATGTTGACAGGACAAAAAGTTGAAACTCTTGGCAGAAAACCAAAGTCAATATCAGAGCCAAGCAAATACTGCGTGCAGAGCCCTATCGGGAAAGCCTGAAGACCAACCATTTTTCAATGGCAAGAAACACCCTCAGCTCCAGAACCACGGAAGCAAATGTGCTTTCAGGTAGAGAATTTCTATTATTCTGACTGTTTCCAAATAGTTTTTTTTTTATTAAGCATTGTTTTTACCTTATAAAGCAACTATTAGTTGACATTCTAATTTCCTGTGTATTTAGAGAATGTAGAAGTAACTGATGCTCTTATATATGGAAACATATAGGTAAAAGATATTTTTCAATCAAAGAGAACATTGATTAAAAATTTTAAAACAGGCTTGAATATTTTGAATATCTTTCCTTAGGGATTTTGGACAGATACCATTGCCATGGTTTACAATAATTTTCCTTTTGCTCAAATCAAGAGGTTTCACAAATGTTTAATTTCTCTCTACCAATTCCCTTCCCATAATTGCTAAGAACATAGGTGCCAAATGGACAATAAACACAACAGTAATCTAGAGGTCTCAATTTGTATCTCATGCCAAGTCCTTGGGCATAAAATGTTCAGAAAACCATTGCTTTCTATACTGATAATTGTGTGCTTAGATTTGCTATCCAGACATTTACAAGAAAATCTGTACTACCTTAAATTAAGATTCGTGTTAAATATGATCTATAAACAGTAGAGTTATGTGCCTGTTGCTTTCTCTTTTAGGATGATTGCACTCAGGCAAGCAGCTTACTTCACTTGCTTGTTTGCTACAGTTTCCTGTGGTGAGTGGATTATCTCTAAGAGCAAAGTTAAGGGTGAGGGGGAGAATAGTTAAGCAAGACATCTGACCCTCAGAGGTTCAGCACCAACTACCACTTGGCAGATATATCATCCTAGACACACCAGAAGGAGGGGCCCAGAAACGAGAATGTCTTGGCAGGTGTCGACAGAAACTTCTGTTTGGAAAAGACTCTCTACAAAGCAGATCTTAAAATAATCAGCCCTCTATTTTTATTATCAACATTAAAAAATCAACTTATCTGAATCAGAAGAGTGCTAGGTATTTTATAGCATCTGGGTCCAACCCAAGTATGATAATATGTACTCAGTGCATATGTTTATTGTTTTAGACTTCTGGGGAATCATTTCAGAAAAGAAAGTACCTAGTTTATATTTAATTTGGGAAGTCATCCATTTGAATAGTTTTGAGTTTCACCATCAGGCTTTGATCTTATTTCTCTTTCTATCCATTAAAATTTCACAGAATAGGAATGATTTTAGACACTGTTTTTCATTAATCATTGTAGAATGGAGTTTTCAGGATGCCACCATCATGGGTGGTTTCTGAGTCTTTGTTGACTTAAGAAGACCACATCACAACAATGTTTATGGCTAAGACAAACATCTCCAGGTGTCTAGGGTAAGGATTACATTTGGCAAAAAATATAAATTCTTAAGGAAGAAGTTTTTTTCCCCTAAACCAAACTCCCCTCCATCTGTCCCCTCATTCCAAATTGCTCTTCTGAGCCATAATCATTACTACATACAAATACATTGAATGCTGAGAAGTAGAAGCCCGAGATGCTGTGAACCATGGTCACTTCAATTTTATTATTTTTGAAAAAAATTATGATCATGCTAGGGAAATTAGAGCTGCAAATTAGCAGAAAATGAGAAAATACCTGTCATCTGTAGTCTTATAATACAGAGACAGCCTTTGTTCAAAATAACTTTTTCAGATATTTTTCTGCATGTGTCTTTACACACTCAACAAAGATGTTATTAGATACTTTTTTTTGTAACTTATGCTTCCCATTTATAGTGATCTTTCATGCAGATAAATATTTATCATGTTTTTAGAGCTTAATATTCTTCTCTATCCATGGTATTTTTGTATGGACATTCTTATATACATGCTTATTTCTGTAGAAAAATTTTTTTTGGAAATTAAAACACCAGATATAGTAAAGGTGTGTATATTTTTGAAGGTTTTATGATATATATCATCAAATTATCTTCCAGAAAAGTTGTTCCCATGTTAGAAGATAGGGAGAAACCAAGCTAAGATCGCATTTGAGGGAAAATAATTTATGTACAAATTATTATGGTTCAGCACGATAAATGAAAATCAACCAAGTATTTTTATGCATAAGTACCCATAAAATAATTTTAACATCACACATCACACCCTAATATATCACTATTTCAGGAGTTCCCTGGCTGTCCAGTGGTTAGGACTCTGTGCTTCCACTGCAGGGACATGGGTTCGATCCCTGGTCAGGGAACTAAGATCCCACACACTGTCCAGCAGGTATATTTCATCCTGCTTCTGCATTTAGTCACATCATAAGATCTTTGGGTATTCCAGGGACAAAGTAAGAAGGTTTAGAACGCAGATATATTTATTTTAAAATTATTATTTCTTCCAAATTAATGTGCCTTTTTTTCAATGATTTCTGTCACAGGATGCTTGACTCAACTATATAGCAACACCTTCTTCAGAGGTGGGGATGTATCTGCCATGTACACCCCAGATGCCCAGTACTGTCAGATGATGTGCACCTTCCATCCGAGGTGCTTGCTATTTAGCTTTCTTCCTGAAAATTCAACCAGTGATGCAGACAAAAGGTAAAAGTTGATATTTCTTTATTGGAGAAGCCAGTCATTTTTCAAAATGGAATCAGTTGTGTGCACCACATAGCGAGATTTTGTTTCTAAATGGCCAGCTTCATCAGAATCACGCTGTGTAGTTCTTATCTAAGCAGATTCTTAGGCTCAAGCCCAGACCTAGCAAACCTAAGTCTCTTGGGCCTGGAAATCTGCATTTTAAACAATGACCTCATTCACTTAGAGCCATAGAAGGTAGTCTTTTCCTATCCAAGACCTCAAGGAAAACACTTGAAAATGATTGCGTTATGAGATTATCTCAAGAAATGGTCTAATAACAGGTGAATATTTCACCTGAACAAGAAAGCTATTTACTGTCTGATGCATGATCACACTTGTGGATAGCATAGTTCTTAACTATAGAAGGCAAGCATTTTGTTGAGAAAATAATTAAAATCCAGATCTTGTAACCTTGGGAGAAGGTAGGTCTGAATGATGCCTATAATGAGACAGTTTGGGCACCTATAGTGTACATGGTATGTGTATGCCTGCACGTACATGCATGCGTGCATGTGTGTGTGTGTGTGCGCACGCATGTGTGGACATGAATATTTATTATTAACTGGTAATTTGGAAAAGTACGACTATTTGAAAAGTAGTTGGTAATGAAAAGTCCTATTCAGTCATAAAGTTGCTCAAGTACAACCATAGTTTTATTATAATTTTCTTTAATTTTGATCAAATATCCAGAATGAATGTTTCTTCCTTGTTCCCATTACCATATCCATAATTCTTTTCCTTCATCTTTACTCTATTTGAATTAAAAACTAGGAATTAGACTGTCATTCCCTGATTCTACAAGGGAAGTGAAAGTGAAAATGCTAGTCGTGTGGTTGTGTCCGACTCTTTGCGACCCCATGGACTGTAGCCTACCAGACTCCTCTGTCCATGGAATTATCCCAGACAAGAATACTGGAGTGGGTAGCCATTCCATTCTCCAGGTGATCTTCCCGACCTAGGGACCGAACCCAGGTCTCCTGCATTGCAAGCGGATTCCTTACCATCTGAGCCGCCAGGGAAGCCTTTTACAGGGAAACTTGTATAGCGAACCTAGACTGTATGTTAGAGGCAGCAACTTTTCACTTAAAAAGTTGGATTAGGTTCTAGAATCCTTTTAAATAAGAAAATTACATTAAAGTTGACATTAAAGACAGAATGAAGTTTTTTAGTAGGTATGGACTGTAAGGAGTTAGTAATCAGGATAAATACCAAACAAAGATGCAACTCTCATGACTGATTTAATTTCTTAAGTAAATGAAAATATTTATAACAATAATCACCAGGTGGGAACATAATTCCCACAAAGTTTGGGAACTCGGGAAGAATCATTCCCTCTTTCACATGATTGACTTTCTGTACTTTGAAATGTGAATATAAAGGAAAACAATGCTAAAGTTAGATATTACAAAGGTTGTTAGGCATTAAGGAATTGCCTCTAAGAATGTTTTTCCCAGCAGAAGTCAGGCATGCTGTATTATTTTCCTTATTTCTGGCTGTATTTATGACTGCATAGAAATGCTAGACATTTCCTCAATGTCTACTTCTTATTAAGCTACTTTTAAAAAATAGGTTTGGTTGCTTCTTGAAGGACAGTGTTACAGGAACCCTGCCGAGAGTGTCACGGACAGGTGCAATTTCGGGACATTCCTTAAAGCGATGTGGTCATCAAATTAGTGGTAAGGTGTGGATTTCTGAGCTCAGTTTGAATGGATAGTGGGTCTACCTTAAAACAGCTTCTGCTCAAACTCTGTAGCACCATGCACTTTTGGAACGGAAAACTTAGAAAGATAACAGAGATGGGGTTGTATTCTGGACACACCCTCTTATCTTCATCAGTCATCTCATACTTGAGGAGCCTCCATTGTTTATGAGGCTAGCACTTTGGTGTAAGATGTACAAAAAGTAAATATACAGCTGAACAATAGTCTGCCTTTGATTCTCAAACAGAAACAGACCCACAGAGAACAAACTTAACCGTTACTAATGGAGAAGGATGGGGGGAGGGGTAGATTGGGAGTTTGGGACGGACATGTACACACTGCTATATTTAAGTAGATAACCAACAAGGACCTACTGTATACCACAGGGAACTCCGCTCAATATTCTATAACAACATATATGGGAAAGGAATCTGAAAGAGAATGGATATACGTGTATGTATAACTGAATCAACTGGCTGTGCCTGAAACCAACACAAGATTTTAAATCAGCTAAGTCCACTATAAGATTAAAAAAAAAAAAAAGCTACCCAGCCCAAATGGATGATTCACTTCCAGAAGGGAAGCTAATTTAATTTGCTCTATGTGTTTTATTTGGGCAGCTTGCCACCAAAGCATTTATAAAGGAATTGATATGAGAGGAGTCAATTTCAATGTATCTAAGGTGAAAAGTGCTGAAGAATGCCAAGAAAGGTGCACCAACAACATTCACTGCCAGTTTTTCACATATGCCACAAAAACCTTCTTCAATGCAGAGTACCGGTGAGTAAAATTCAGTGTCTGTTCTTTCTGATGGTGTTTTCAGAAACATAACCTTTTTTTTCTTCATAACCATTTTTTCCCCCAACTGAAAATCAGAGCAAGTTTTTAGGTCTAATCAGTCTTCTTAGTCTTAAAGAGAATAAGAATATTCTTAAAGAGATGGGAATACCAGACCACCTTACCTGCCCATGAGAAACCTGTTTTGCAGGTCAAGAGGCAACAGTTAGAACTGGACATGGAACAATGGACTGGTTCAAAATTGGGAAAAGAGTACGTCAAGGCTGTATACTGTCACCCTGCTTATTTAACTTATATGCACAGTACATCATGCAAAATGCCAGGCTAGATGAATCACAAGCTGGAATCAAGATTTCCAGCAGAAATATCAACAGCTTCAGATATGCAGATGATACCACTTTAATGGCATGAAGAGGAACTAAAGAGCCTCTTGATGAAGGTGAAAGAGAACAGTGAAAAAGCTGGGTTAAAACTCAACATTCAAAAAACAGATCATGGTATCTGGTCCTAATACTTCATGGCAAATAGATGGGAGGAATGTGTAAACAGTGTCAGAATTCATTTTCTTGGGCTCCAAAATCAATGTGGACAGTGACTACAGCCATGAAATTAAAACATGCTTGCTCCTTGGAAGAATAGCTATGTCAAACCTAGACAGTGTTTTAAAAAGCAGAGACATCACTTTGCTGACAAAGGTCAATATAGTCAAACCTATGGTTTTTGTAGTAGTCATGTACAGATGTGAGAGTTGGACCATAAAGAAGGCTGAGCACCAAAGAATTGATGCTTTTGAACTGTAGTGTTGGAGAAGACTCTTGAGAGTCACTTGGACTGCAAGGTCAAACCATTAAATCCTAAAGAAAATCAACCTTGAATATTCATTGGAAGGACTGATGTTGAAGCTGAAGTTCCAATATTTTGGCCATCTGATTTAAAGAGCTGACTCAGTGGAAAAGCCCCTGATGCTGGGAAAAACTGAGGGCAAGAGGAGAAGGGGGAAACAGAGGTAAGATGGTTGGATGGTATCACTGACTCAATGGACATGAGTCTGAGCAAACTCAGAGAGATAGTGATGGACAGAGAAGCCTGGTGTGTGCAGTTCATGGGGTCGCAGAGTCAGACAGTCCTTAGAAACTGAACAACAGTCTTCTTATTATTTTATTCAAATTTGGCATCATTTTTCCTGAAGAGAAAAATTTCCATTTGGTCCACAAATACCCTGTGCTTGTAGGGTCAGGGTTCAGTAGAATAATGTCCCATAGAACAGCTCCTACTGCACCCTCACCCTAACCTTCCCTCTATAGAGGGGGAGATGTCTATTTGATGAATAACACAATCCCTAACTCATTCATCAATGAGGTCACTGTTCCGATTGCTTTGTTTATTTTCCACTGACCATGGATCATTTTCAACAAGGAATGGACTTCTGCAGGCACCTTGAAGTTCAGGAAGCAGAGTCACCTCTGTTTTTCACTTTCAGGAACAACTGCCTATTAAAACACAGCCCACAGGGGACACCTGTGCGTATAAAGGTGCTGACTGACGTGGAGTCGGGATTCTCGCTGAAGGCGTGTGGAAACTCGAAAATTGGTAATCATATGGCTCCTATTTCACGGTGTGGGCTTCTTCCCCAGTGGCTTGGTGGTAAAGAATCTGCCTGGAATACAGGAGATGCACGAGGCCCGGGCTTGATCCCTGGGTCGTGATGATGCCCTGGAGAAGGGAATGCAACTCACTCCTGTATTTTTGCCTGGAGAACCCCATGGACAGAGGAGCCTGGCTGATTACAGTCCATGGGGTTGCAAAGAGTCAGAGACAACTTAGTGACTAAACAACTAGCAGGGGAATGCTAGTTGTTATGCTAAATGCCTTGGCTTTGTAGAATAACGCACATTTGAATAATGTTCACATCAGTCAGTGAAACACTGTACCATGAGGAAAGTAACCAACCAGAAAGTTAATGAGGGCAGATATTTATGGAGTCCTTCATTTGACTTGCACCACAGAGAATTAAGGGTTTCCCTTGTAGTTCCGATGGTAAAGAATCTGCCTGCATTGCAGGAGATGCAGGAGACAAAGGCTCAGTCTCTGAGTTGGGAAGATCCCCTGGAGAAGGAGATGGCAACTCACTCCAGTATTCTCGCCTGGAGAATCCCATGGACAGAGGAGCCTTGCGGGCTGCATTCTGTGGGGTCACAAAGAGTTGGACATGACTGAGCACACACACATGCACGTGCGTGCACACACACACACACACATTTCACTGTGTGATTGTAGTAGGTAGAAAAAAAGAGCCTCCCAAAGACATCCACATCCTAATCTCTGGAATCTGTAAATATGTTACCTTACAGGACAAAAAAGGTTTGAAAAATATGTGATTATGTTAAAAACTTTGAGATTATTCTGGATTATATGGATAGACCCAATGTAGTCACAAGGGTCCTGATAAAAGAAAGAGAGCAAAATGATCAGAGAGTCAGAGAGAGAGAGATTAGAAGAGGTTATACTTTTGGCTTTGAAGATAGAGGAAAGGTCCCTAAGTCAAGGAATGCAGGTGGCCTCTACAATCTGGAAAAGGTAAGGACAAATGTTCTACAGAGATTCCCAAAGGACCAAAGCCCAGCCAGTATGACCCATTTCTAGAGAAGGAAATGGCAACCCACTCCACTATCCTTGTTTGGAAAAATCCCATGGACAGAGGAGCCAGGCGAGCTACAGTCCATGGGGTTGCAAAGAGTTAGACACTGATGACTAAGCACTACACATTATTCCCATCATGCAAGGACTAAACAACAAGGACAGAGACCCATTTCAGACTTCTCGACTTCTGATCTCCAGAACCAGGAGATAATAAATTTGTGTTGTTTAAGCCACTAAGTTTGGGATAATTTTTTAAGCAGCCATAGGAAACTAGTAAAGTGACATTGTAGAGAAAACTATATGGTCATTTCTTGGTGGTGTCTATTATCTAGTGAAAGGACTCTAGCATAATAAATCAATGAAACCCTGTAGTTTCAGATATAGGGGTAATTTTAATTGAAAGAGCCAGAAAATTTGCTAAGATATTCTCTCTTATTTAGCACATCAGCATTTCAATGATAACACGTTATTGAAACCACGTTATCAATAGCCACTTCTATACAGTATCAAGTGCTGACTCTGTGCCAGGCCCTGAATGGGGAGCTGGGCTAGGCTCCTGCCTTAGAAGACTGGGGAGTTGGCAGCAATGCCTCTCTTTTCCCCTTGGTTCCCAGCCTCTCCCAACACACCTCCTCCATGGGGTGCTCTAGATTTATTGCTTTAAATTAAGTATTATTTATTTTTTTAATATTCACATTAGGTTCTTTTCTGTAATTTAATTTCTGTCTATTGATATTGTCTGGTGAGACATTGTTTTCATACTTCACTTCAGTCCTTTCTTTAAGATTTTTTTTTTTTTTTTGGTGTGTGGACCATTTTTAGAGTCTTTATTGAATTTGTTACAATATTGCTTCTGTTTTATGTTTTGGGGCTTTTTTTTTTTTTTTTTCCTGGCCATGAGGCATGTGGGATCTTAGCTTGCCTACCAGGAATCAAACCCACATCCTCTGCATTGGAAGGCGAAATCTTAACCATTGGACCAACAGGGAAGTTCCCTCTCCAGTTCTTTGGACATGCTTTCCTTTAGTTCTTTGAACATATTTAAAATAGCTGATGTAAAAGTCTTGGTATAGTAAATCCAATGTTCGTGCTCCCTCAGTGATAGTTTATATTAACCTTTACTTCTGTGGATGGGCCATATTTCCTTGTTTCTTGACATGTCTCATGATTTTTTTGTTAAAAAAAAAATTAGACTTTTTAAATACAAGCATGTGACAAACTCTGGACATCAAATTCCCTCCTTCCTCAGAGTTTATTGTTGTTGTTGTTACTATTTTGTGTTGCTGTTTGGGGACTTCCCTGAGCTAATTATGTACAGTGTTTAGTCTCTGTTGTGACATGACCACAGATGTCTGTGCTCAGCTTCCTCTACAGTTTTCTAATGACAGGCCAGAAGTTTCCTTGGGAGCCTAGAAGAAGTAGTGAGTTTGCCAGCCTTGGACAAGGGACTTTTGGTGAGACTTAGGGCATGCATTTCACTGCCCGGCCCTGGCCTCCACTTCCTGCTGCCACAGAGCTCATAGAGGTCAAAGTCAGTCCCCGGTGAGGGCTCGGGGCTTTCCCAGATCTCTTATGGACATGTGCAGAGCTTCTGTCATGCACACAATCAGCTCCATACAAGCATGTGGCTTTCCAGATTCCAGGGGTATCTCAGAGATTTTCAAACTCTCCTTGGTTTTCCTTCTAAAATTCTCACTGGCTTGTGGTATGCCCCTGTTATTACTCCTGACTTACACAGCTAAGATGTTGTATAATAGTCACAATCTTTTTTTTTTTTTTTGACAAACATTTTCAAGGAAAAGGCTGTTAACACTGAGAAAGTTCTGAATCAGGTCAAAGAAACTCAGTCCTTGGGAGTGGGGTTTTCCTGAGAACCTCCAGTCAAATAACGGCAGTTATCTGGGGGCGGGGCTTGAGCCCCTCCTGGGGCCGTTAGGCTGCTGGTTTTCCCCATGACTGTGGGTATTCTCAAGGCTTCCGTGGAGCTGTGGAGAGGGGATGAGAGGGAAAGTCAAAACCTCACAGAACTCGGGGTTCTTGCTGAGATTTGGCTGTTGTTCTTGGATTGAAAACTCCCTGGGTTGTTATAAGCCTTTGGTTCATTTCTAGAGTTCTGAAATGACATTAATTTTGACAGTCTGGCCAGTGCTCTTGTTTCTTTCTTTTTTTTTTTTAATGGAGGAAAGGGTTTTGGAAGGTCTTTACTCTGTCACTCCTACTGACATCTTGTAGTGCCTTTGACAAACAAAAGAAAATGAAACTAGCTTAAAAAACAACCTGGTCTTTGGAACATAGTCAGTGCCTGTTCTTTTGTCATCTGGACGGGTCAGACTGTGACTGGACTTTGTATTCAGCAAGGTGTTCCATATTTTGTTTGGAGCAACAGACACGTCAAAAGAGAGTAACCAAGATCCTGAGATATCTAGAAACATAGGAAAATAAGATACCATTAAAGAAACAGATTAGACATTTAACCTGAAAAAGTCAGGATGACTGTTTTAAATTTTTGTTTTTGAAGAATGGTCATTGGGAAAAAGGATTAGACTAATCTGCGTGGTTTCATAAAATAGATACTACTATGATGAAAATAAGAAAAAAATTGTGACTCCTAGAGTGGTCCAGAAGTGAGGTAGTCATGAGGTAGTCAGCTCCTTGTCATCATAAACATCTGAAATAAAGGTTGAACTACTTGAGAGGATGCAGTTGTAGGTAGACATGGAATCCCATAAATTCTCTTCCAGCTTAAAGTCTGATTTTTTTTTTTAAAAAAAGATTAAATTAGTTGAGGTCTAATTTCCTAAACTTCCCATCTGAAGATATTATGTGTGGCAGGCACACTCTCTTGATCCAACTATGTTCATTTACATTTGGATTCTTTTTGTATTTCTCATAATTGCTACCTTTATTCTTTAAGCTTACATAATTTTAATAGAATTTGTTTTTGTTGTTCAGTGGATAAATCATGTCCAATTCTTTGCAATCCCATGGACTGCAGCACACCAGGTTTCCTTGTCTTTTACTAGCTCCTGGAGTTTGCTCAAATTCATGTCCATTGAGTCGATGATGCTATACAACCATCTCATCCTCTGCCACCCTCTTCTCCTTTTGCCTTCAAACTTTCCTAGCATCAGGGCCTTTTCCAATGAGTCAGCTCTCTGTATCAAGTGGCCAAAGTATTGCAGTTTCAGTTTCAGCATCAGTCCTTCCAAAGAATATTCGGGGTTGATTTCCTTTAGGATTGACTGCTTAGATCTCCTTGCAGTCAAAGGGACTCCCAAAAGTCTGCTCCAGCACCACAGTTCAAAGCATCAATTTTTCAGCACTCAGCCTTCTTTATGGCCCACCGCTCACATCTGTACATGACTAATGGAAAAACCATAGCTTTGACTATACAGACCTTTGCTGGCAAACTGATGTCTTTTCTTTTTAATAGGCTGTCTAGGTTTGTCATAACTTTCCTTCCAAGTGTCCAACTCTGTGACCCCATGGACTATAGCCTGCCAGACTCCTCTATCCATGTGACTTCCCAGGCAAGACTACTGGAGTGGGTTGCCATTTCCTCCTCCAGGGTGTCTTCCTGACTCAAGGATCTAACCTGTGGCTCCGGCTGTGTCTCCTGCATTGCAGGCAGATTCTTTACCACTTAACCACCCGAGAGGCCCTAATAGACTTTTAAAGTGAAAGTGATAGTCTCTCAGTTGTGTCTGACTCTTTGCAACCCCATGGACTATACAGTCCATAGAATTCTCTAGGCCAGAATACTGGAGTGAGTAGCCTTTCCCTTCTCCAAGGGATCTTCCCAACCCAGGGTTCAAACCCAGGTCTCCCGCATTGCAGCCAGATTCTTTACTAGCTAAGCCACAAGGGAAATCCAAGAATACTGGAGTGGGTAGTTTATCCCTTCTCCAGTGGATTTTCCTGACCCAGGAAATGAAATACTTTATGTGTTATCAAATTGAGTAAATTGAGTAAATAATAAGAACATAAGTAAAAGTATAATTGAGATATAATTATGTTATGGAAAATGAAAGTGGATTTCCTCTTGTTCTAATTTCAATGGGTACATGGCATTTTTGTTAGAAATTCAGGTTTTTGTTGATCTCTTTATTAACATTTTTTCAGAATATTCAGGAAAATATAACAAAACTTCATGTTCCTAAGGCCTAAATTTCAGGGTCAGGGAAATATAAAGAAAATATAAACACAAGCTGAGTAGCATAGGTATTTTGTACTGAGTAGGATAAAGCACAGTTTAAGACATTTTATTTCTCTGACATGGGAATCTGTCTTTTATCAGATTGAGACCAATTTTTTCTTCTCCCAAATGGCAAACAACAAGCTTGGGGATGTTTCAACAGGCATTTTTTTCACTACGGATGTGTAGTTCCATGAACAAATAACAGTCATAGTTTCCTTAGTTATGAATGCGAAGTATAAGCATATGTAACCTTGTGACATGTACATCTTCCCCTGTGGGTTCACAGGCTGCCGCATGGACATTTTCCAACATCGTGCATTTTCAGATGTGGATGTTGCCAGAATTATCACACCAGATGCTTTTGTGTGTCGAACCATCTGTACCTATCACCCCGGCTGCCTTTTCTTTACATTCTATACAAATGCATGGAAGAATGACTCACAGAGGTCAGTAGGCATGTGTCACATTTGCTACTGTCTTGACATCATTTTAATTTTATACTTTGAGTTTTTCCTAAGTTTTGTTCATTTCCCTCAGAACACTTGAACTCATAGAATGAACTTATGGTTACCAGAGGGGAAGGTGGTCGGGAAGAGGGATAGTTTGAGAGTTTGGGGTGGACATGTACACGTTGCTATGTTTAAAATGGATAACCAACAAGGACCCACTATATAGCACAGGGAACGCTGCTCAATGCTATATGGCAGCCTGGATGGGAAGGGAGTTCAGGGAAGAAGCATACATGTATATGTATGGCTGAGTCCTTTCGCTGTCCACTTGAGCCTATCACAACATTGCTAATTGGCTATACTCCAAAATAAAATAATTTTTTTTTTTAAATTAAAAACAAAAATCACTTGAACTCAGTTTAAATAGGTGCTCTTCTACCAGGTGCAGATTAGTTAAGAGATTAGTGGACTTTCCTACCCATCTTCTCTTACTTAAACAGACCATCTAATCAATGCAACAATAGCCATGGATACCTTTCCTGCAAATCTTAATCTTTTGTATTAGCTTGAAGTAAACCACTCACTGGGAGCATGTCCTTTAAGTTCCTTTGTTCTGACCCCAGTGTTTCAGAAACTAGAGCCCTGTTTAGTCTGATCAAGGTTCCGGTTCCATCTCTTGACCCTCAGATAACCTGTTCTTTTCTTTACACACAAGACGGAGCTAAGAGAAGGGTATCAAGTTATAATAGCATCAGCACTATAAATCCCCAGAATCTGTTCTTTCTTCTTCTTCTTTTGTTTGTTTTTAATTAGAAGGTAGAACTTTACCTTTCTCCTCTTTTCGGGCTATCTGGACCTGTAAGTTTTCTTCAGAGGGAGATGTGGCTTCATTTACATTTAATCTCTGTGATTCATTAGAGTCCTGTAGTCTGATGTTCTTTGGAAGGAATTTCTCAGAAGAATAAAATTTGCAGAGGGGTGTTTTTTTTATATGAGGTGTTCGTGTATTTGCCTTTAATGGAGTTTTCTTTCTCTTGCTTGTTTTTGACAATAGAAATGTTTGTTTCCTTAAGACTTCCCAAAGTGGGAGCCCGAGTTCCCCTACTCCTCAGGAAAATGCCATCTCTGGATACAGCCTTTTAACCTGCAAACAAACTCTGCCTGGTAATGTGATTTGATTAAAAAAAATATTACCCAAAATGTGATACATTTTATGATCTTCTAATAAGATTCAATGTTCCAGAAGCTTGTGTACATGTGGTTTATCATTTGCACTTTCTATTTTTTTATGTTTGTCATAGGCACAGAGCCCTGCCACTCCAAAATTTACCCGCAAGTTGCTTTTGAAGGAGAAGAGCTGCATGTGACCTTCGTTAAAGGAGTGGATGATTGCCAAGAGACTTGTACAAAGATGATACGCTGTCAGTTTTTTACTTATTCTTTATTCCCAGAAGACTGTAGAGGAGAAAAGTTAGTGAATGCTTATTTTTCAAAGACAGTTGGCAGATAATTTCCTGGGCTTTCATCCTCTGAGGTTTAATCTCATGCTGATCATCTTGTCTAGGTGTAAGTGTTCCTTACGCTTGTCTTTGGATGGCTCCCCAACTAACATTACTTATGGGACACAAGCAAGCTCTGGTTATTCTCTGAGGTTGTGTAAACGTGGGGACAGCCGTGGTGAGTAAATCTCACTTTTTTCATAAAACTGTAGAGGGATGTCTGAGTTGTTCAGATAGCTTTTTAAATCTTCTATAATGGAAATATGTGTCTTGTTTTCCTTAATGAAGGGGACTGTTATTCACCCCCTGATCCCAACTATTTAACTTCAATGCTCTCTTTTTAGTCTGTACAGCAAAAAGGACACGCATTGTTGGAGGAACAGATGCTTCTTGGGGGGAGTGGCCCTGGCAGGTCAGCCTGCAAGTGAAGCTGAGAGCTCAGAGCCACCTGTGTGGAGGATCAATCATTGGACGCCAGTGGGTCTTAACTGCTGCCCATTGTTTCGACGGGTAAGGTTTGGCTGCATCTTATCTGGAGGCAGATCTTGCCTCTTCGTTTTGAAGACTCTATAATCAATTTCTCCATCATCGTGTCAGTTTATTGATATCTATCACTCCACAAAGTTACAATAGCTTTTGGTGGTAAAAACTTTGAAGACATTCTCTCTCAGCAACTTTCCCAGGTGACTCAGGGGTAAAGAATCCTCCTGCCTCCAGGGAAGGTTCAATCCCTGGGTTGGGAAGACTCCCTGGAGGAGGAAATAGCAACCTGCTCCAGTATTTGTGGCTGGAAAATTCCAAGAACAGAGGAGTCTGGTGGGCTACAGTCCATGGGGTCACAGAGCTGGACATGACTGAGCACGCATTCATGCCATTGTCAACTGTAGTCACCATGCTATATTACCAGAACTTATTTATCCTATAACTTTAAGTAATTTTAGACTTATTTTGCATATATCCATGTCTAAAGAGTTAATTTAAATTTTCAAACTTCCCAAAATATAGATATAATTTAAATAGTGCTGAGGTTCCTCTCATTTGCACTATTAGAGGTGTTACATAAAAACTGGGTTTTCCTCTTGGTTGGATGTCAAGTCAAAAGACACAACGTAGCCAAAGATCGGGAGAAGGAAGGATTTATTATTGCAGCGAGTAAGGAGAAGACTGGGGATCTTTCCCAAAGCAGTTGTGTTCCCAAACAGCACAACTAGAGAAGTTTTAAGCTAAGGGTACATGCATATTCTTGAAGGGCCTTGGGCTGAGTCCAGGCCTTAGTTGATTTAAGTCATGAGGGTCAGAAGAGGTCAACACCATCATGCCTTAGGTTCCAGTTGATCTGGTGGTTGAGTGCTTTTGGCTAATCTTTGCCATTGAAAGACAACTAGGAGTCTTTACAGCTGATCCATAATCTTTGCTATTGTTACTTTTCTTGCCTGTAATAGTCCTTTGTCTCTGCAATCTTTTATTCCCTTTAAGATCATTAATTACTGAGACCTATTCAAGGACAGGGCTTTCCTGTGGTTTAGCTATAAAGAATCTGCCTGCAATGCAAAAGATGTAGGTTTGATCCCTGCATGGGGAGAATCCCCTGGAGGAGGTCATGGCAATCCATTCCAGTATTCTTGCCAGGAAAACCCTATGGACTGGCGGGCTATAGTCCATGAGGTTGCAAAAAGTCCGACACAATTGAAGCGACTGAGCACATTCAAGGACTACTGTTGTGGCCCAGCTTAGATCACAGAATAGCTTAGGCTAAAAATGGTTTCTTTTATATCAAGAAAACCATGCCTGGATCTCTTTCTCTGGGAATCTGTTATCCTATCTGGTTACACAGAGACTTGTATACAGTCATTCTTTCTTGCCAGTTCTGAATTTGATGGAAGTGATTGCTTTCAATTTCGTGAATGAAGCATGATTTTCTATGATAAACTGCGAGACATCTCCCGAATACAGTTTCTCTCAGAAAGAGACAGCAACATTCTTGTATATTCACTTACAGAAAACACGACACAATTATGCAATTTCTAATACTTTAAACTAAATCTTCAGAGTTCAGCACTGCTGCTGTTGGTGCTAAATTGCAAGGAGGAGAAATTAGGTATGTAAACATACATTATATGTAGTATTTTCTTCCCAGTTCTTTTTTGAAAGGTAAAGTGAAAGGAGAAAAGAGCAATATCAAAGGCCAGTCTTTCTGGTTTCAAATCAGTTCTTATTTTTCCCTCCTAGGCTTCTCTTGTCAAATATTTGGCGCATTTATGGTGGCATTTTAAATCTGTCAGAGATAACGACAGAGACATCTTTCTCACAAATCAAAGAGATCATTGTCCACCCAAATTATAAAGTCTCAGAAGGCAGTCATGACATTGCCATAATAAAACTTGAGGCTCCTTTGAATTTTACTGGTACGTAGCATATTTAAGGTGACGTGTATAGCTGAATTGTATTGGTTTAAATTTTCACATCAGTTTCAAGGAGGGGTGAGAATCTAAGGAGACTGTCTTTATTTTCTGGTTAGTGAAGTTGCAGGAAAGATGAGTATTGCCAGGAAAAATAATTTGAGACTTGACATAAAATGTGTTCTACTTAAGGGCCAAAATGTGTTACTTAGTTCTTTCAGGAAGGAATATAGCTGCATATTATACTATTGAGATAATAACATACACGGAGGGGAGCATGACTTCCTTTGACAAGAGTAGCAGAATTAGCACTGCCTTGGGCATAGGCATATCATATTAGGAGTATATGAGGGCAAGCACATTCAAATATTAATTTCCAGGTGAAATCTGAGTAGGGAAAAGACTGTTGGACAAGGCAGTTCTGGGAGACAGTAGCTTTGTGGTTGGACGGGCTGCATTTGGAGGTACAAATTCTTCACAGTTGCTGGATGCCCACTGGGTCTGCTAAAGATACTGTGACCTCAGGCAGGATGTCCTTGCCTCCTGTTACCCCCATGGGATTATTATTAAAAATCAGTTAATAAGCTAAAGTGCCTAAAATTCATGGTTAAAGCAGTGTAGACCCCTCTGCTATTACAATTAAGGGAATCATACACAAGAACTTGTAAAGGCTCTTGACAGTAAATTCGGGTTCGGAGTTTTAAAATTTAATCCAGAAAATTTAACACCAAAAATGACTGTGATGGTGAGACATTTTCTCGAGTCATTGACCTTAGGAACTGAGTAGAAAGTAAAAGGTGTATTCTACTTGATGCTACTCTAGAGAAAGAAAATATAGGGGCAGGGACAGTATGTATATTTAAAGTCAATGTCCATTACTAAATCTAGCCAAACTCTAATGTAAAAATTCCCTTTCAGATTTGCAAAAAGCAATATGCCTACCTTCCAAAGATGATACAAAACCTGTTTACACTGACTGTTGGATAACTGGATGGGGCTTCACAGAGGAAAAAGGTACCACATGACATTTTATATGTTAAAACATACAGAGTGGATCTGTTTAATTGGCCTCTAAAATTATATCCAGATTCATGATTTTTTTCCTAACTATTCGTATTCAGTAATTCTTGAGAAGACAGAGTTTTGCTTGGTCCTGGAAAAATTCATAGGGTAATCTCTTAAGCATCTTAAGATCATTTGTTTGACTTCTCCTAAAGGATTGGTCCCATACAGGACTAACAACTTCCCCAAGCCCATCTTGTCCTCAGAATTAATAGAGTTCCCATCTCCCAAGGCCACTGTTATCCCTTGCATTAATAACCAGGAGTACAGGCAGACATGTCATCTCTTTCTGGAAGGCTTTTAAATCTTTTTTTAAAAACATATCCTTCCTACAACCTGGTAAAGCCTGTGAACCTCTTCTCTACTGATGCTTTTACACCCATAAATAAAACACATAGGATTACAAAGAAAACCAATGAAACTGCAATTTACCAGAATACTTTGCGAATGACAGTGTTAATAGCTTAGTCATGTCAGACTCTTTGAGACCCCTTGGACTGTAGCCCACCAGGCTCCTCTCTGTCCATGGGATTCTCCAGGCAAGAATACTAGAGTTGATTGCCATGTTCTCCTCCAGGGAATCTTCCTGACCCAGGGATCAAACCTGGGTCTCCTGCACTGCAGGTGGACTTTTTACCATCTGAGCCACCAGGGAAGGCTTTATTTCTTAACAATTAATGTAAATCAACTTTATTATAAATTGTATAGTTCATTCCGGACAAATTGAGAACTATAGATTTTTAAAAACTTTTAAACATTGCAGCATAGTTGCTTTACAATGTTGTGTAAGTTGCTGTTGTATAGCAAAGCGAATCAGTTATACATATATCCACTCTTAGATTCTTTGCCCATACAGGTCATTGCAGAGTATTGAGCAGCATTGCCCATACTATACAGTAGGTCCTTATTGGTTATCTATTTTATGTATAGTAGTGTGTATATGTAGATAACCAATAAGGACCTACTATATATGTTGAGGGGCTTCCCAGGTGGCGTTAGGGGCAAAGAACCTGCCTGCCAAGGCAGAAGACATAAGAGACTAGAGTTGGATCCCTGGGTCAGGAAGGTCCCCTGGAGGAGGACATAGAAACCCACTCCAAAATTCTTGCCTGGAGAATTCCACAGAGGAGCCTGGCAGGCTATGGTCTATAGGGTCACAAAGAATAGGACTGACTGACTGACTGAGAACACATATGTATACTTTTTCCAATTTTATTGAGATATAATTGACATACATGACTGCATAAGTCTATGATGTACAGAATAATGTTTTGACTTATATATGTTGTGAAATGATCACTATTATAAATTTGGTTAGCATTCATCATCTATTGCAGATGCATGTGTGCAAAGTCACTTCAGTAGAGTCTGACTCTTTGCAACACTATGGACTGTAGCCCGCCAGGCTCCTCGTCCATGGGATTCTCCAGGCAAGAATACTGGAGTGGGTTGCCATGTCCTCCTCCAGGGGATCTTCCCAACCCAGGGATCGAACCTGCATCTCTTATGTCTGCTACATTGGCAGTCAGGTTCTTCACCACTAACACCACCTAGGATGCCCCTATTACAGACACAGACATACAAAAATATTTATATGAAGAAATGACCTTCATGGAAACTTCATCATTCTCATTTAAGACTGTGGTCTTCTATATTTATTTTATTGCCTCCTCTGGTGTTACCTCACAGGTAAAATCCAAAATACCCTACAAAAGGCAAATATTCCTTTGATATCAAATGAAGAATGCCAGAAAAGTTACAGAGATTATAAAATAACCAAACAGATGATCTGTGCTGGCTATAAAGAAGGAGGAAAAGATGCTTGCAAGGTAATGAATTGGAGTATGAAAAACACACAATAGGCCACTTGAGAAAAATCATTTCAAAATATGTTTTTCCAAGAGTAGTTCTCTATAGCTTTCTAAATGACTTGGAACCAAATAATCTGATAATTTCATAGGAAATCTTTTAAAAAGCTGAATATACACCTATAATTTTTATATATTATCTGTCTCACAGCAGGCGTATGCCATCTTTAAAGGAAGACAATTGTGCAGACAATCATTGTGCTAAAATACAGGCACGTTAAGTTTATCTCACCTTAGGATGTGATGATGTGTTGGAATGAACAGAAAACACCAACTATATACTGTTGAATTAGGTCACTTTTACCACGTCCGACAGCTTGTGAGACCCATGAAATATCTGAAGAGCTACGAGAAATGGTTTGCATGGTGTGTGTGGTATGACTACAGAATTTTAAAGGCACATCCATCATAACCTCTCACTTTGTTTTTTACCACCCACTGTGACACAGGGTGATTCAGGCGGTCCCTTGGTTTGTCAACACGAAGAAACATGGCATTTGGTGGGCATCACTAGTTGGGGTGAAGGCTGTGCCCGCAGGGAACAACCAGGAGTCTACACCAAAGTTGCTGAGTACGTGGACTGGATTTTAGAGAAAACCCAGGACAGCCATGACCAGCCTTTGAGGAAGTAGCCAGCTTGAGAAGCTTCATAGACATGGGGAAGAGCTCCCCCTTGGAGTATTCGATTAACAACCTGCATTCAATTCACGTGCTGAACCTCGGGGTTTCTCATCTGCCAAAACCCCACCTCTTGTCCTTGTCGTAAAAGGAACAATGCTTTCAGCATTCAGTAATAATACCATAATGGGAGAGAAAAACAACCGAGTATCTCTACAATTGTGTGTTCTGAAATAAAAATGGCCGAACAGTGTGATTAACGTGTTTTATTCTGATAGTGAAACAGAAGGGAGGACAAGTGACTCCAGGTTGTAGCACATTGCCTGGGATCATTCTAACCTTAGCACTGCCTCCAGAACTCAGGCTATCCCAAGGATAATAAATTCTTCTCTCAGCCTCCACGGTCATTCATACCCACTACTGCCTACCTCACTTGGGGTGAAGAGCCAGTGAGCTTGGATTTTGTTCTGCCAAGTGGAATGGAAGAAACCAGTGAAATATGCACTTTTGCAAGGAAGAGATGGGTTACCTGAACCTGGAAGATTAGCAGCGCAGCTTTCCATACAGGCTTCTTACCTTGGTTCCCTGGGTGTTGCCACAGGGCTCCAGACTGGCCATGCAGGGGACACCTGTGGGGCTGCAATTGTCTGGGCGCAGCTTCTGCCACAAGATGCTCATGTGGCCTTCGTGAAAGGCAGGGGGTCTGATTTGCTGGGGGTTCAGTGGGCTTCCCAGGTGAAGAACATGTCTGCCGATGCAGGAGACATAGGAGACACAGGTTCGATCCCTGGGTCGGGAAGATCCCCTGGAGGAGGGCTTCAAAGCCCACTCCAGTATTTGCCTGGAGAATCCCATGGACAGAGGAGCCTGGCAGGCTACAGTCCATAGGGTTGCAAAGAGTTGGACACGACTGAAGTGACTTAGCACACATAGTGGATACTGGGTTCTGCAATAGTAACCCAAAGGCAGTAACAGGTAAATTCCTGGTGGTCAGAAGCAGTCCTGGAATGAATATCAATTCTTATGGAACATAAATTCCAAACTTGTCAGTGACCAACCACCACAACTGATATCAGGTAGTTATATTCCATTCCACTGTACTGACTTGACGTTGACACAGAATTTGACCATTCACAAAATACTGCATAAATGTATTAGAAAAATAGAAAAGCAAAATTCCTAAAAGAGGTTGAGTTTTTCCTTCTATGCTCACAAACACACTGAAAGGTAAAAAGAACTAAAGAGGGAGGGGACTGCCAGAAAGAAAACCACAAGGTCTGAGTTATTCATAAACCACACAGTAGGAAACTGAAGGGTTAAGGGCTTACTCCACAAATAAATTCCCCAGATTTTGTAATATCCAGCTGGATTCCCTGAAATGATTTTAAAAAAAACAAACCCCCACAACTTCAACTTTGACTTTAGAGTGCAACACAGATACTGTGGGGTGTTGTTTTATATTTAAAAACAAAAAAAAAGTGGTTTGCAGTGAAAATCTTTTATCTTGGCTACTAGTGTCCTAAAGGATGTTTGAATAGGACTTGAAGGGCTTGCAGTGTAATCCTTGGGCTTTTTTAATTTATCTATTTTTTTTTACCCTTGGGCTCTTGCTGGTCAAGGAATGACCTTCTTTGGGCAAAAGAGGAGAGCTTTAAATGTGAAGCTCCTCCAGGATATGCTGATCATTTTAAAGTTGCCAACTGGAACCAATGGTGCTGGACTGGTCTCTTTATTACCCATCATGTGTTCAGTACAAGGGGGAACAGAACCAGCACTTCACACAGTAAGAGCGTCAACAGACAGAGATGTGTGTTAGAGGCTAAGAGGGCCAGAGGCTGGCATGACTTAAGCTTCACGAGGGCAAATGAGCAGGGAGGCATGGGGCAGCACCGAGCCTGGAAGCCAGCGCTGAGCTACCAGCATAGGAACCTGTGGAGCGCCCAGCACATGTACACATCTGATATGAGTTTAGCCCAGGGCGGCTCCTCATATGTATGGTTTCCCTCACCGAGGTATGGGAAACCTCTAAGGTATACTTAAAATGTATTAAAGTGGGAGCCACTTTCATTCATATCTCATACATTATAAGTGGGCATTCATGTCTAATGAGTGAGGACGTCTTTATATTCAAGATGAAGCAATGGCGGCCCAAAGAGGTAAAGAGACTAGTTCAAGGTCACCTGCAAGGACAGAGTCAGGACTAGGACTGGCATTCATATCCTAGGTGAAAGTTATGACCAACCTAGACAGCATATTAAAAAGCAGAGACATTACTTTGTCAAAAAAGGTCCATCTAGTCAAGGCTATGGTTTTTCCAGTAGTCATGTATGGATGTGAGAGTTGGACTATAAAGAAAGCTGAGCACCGAAGAATTGATGCTTTTGAACTGTGGTGTTGGAGAAGGCTCTTGAGAGTCCCTTGGACTGCAAGGAGATCCAACCAGTCCATGCTAAAGGAGATCAGTCCTGGGTGTTCATTGGAAGGACTGATGCTGAAGCTAAAACTATAATACTCTGGCCACCTGATGCGGAGAGCTGACTCATGTGAAAAGACCCTGATGCTGGGAAAGACTGAGGGCAGGAGGAGAAGGGGCCAACAGAGGATGAGATGGTTGGATGGCATCACCGACTCGATGGACATGAGTTTGAGTAAACTCCGGGAGTTGGTGATGGACAGGGAGGCCTGGCATGCTGTGGTTCATGGGGTCACAAAGAGTTGGACACGACTGAGCGACTGAACTGAACTGAACTGATGTATCCTAGGTCCGTACCATGTTGTATTATGAAGAAGATAAAAAATGACAGGAGCACGTACAGCCAACATTCTCTGTTTTCATTATCATCTAAAGCATCGGTTCTCAGTTGGACTCACTCCCAGCCAGGGGACTTTTGGCAACATCTAGAGACATTTGGTCGCCACACCTGGATGATGAGGGTACTAGTGCGTAGAAGCCAGGGATGTTGGTAAACAACCTACTATGAACAGAACAGCTCCTCAGAACAAGGAATTATCTGGCCCAAATATTAGTAATGCCAGGGTTGAAAGGTCAGTATTAAAAGAGAATGAAAAGGGACAGCAAGGAAGGGATTTCAGGACGTGGGAGTCTGTGCTTTTCTTCAAAGTGAATCTTGATAAGAAGGGAGCACCAAGATAAAGCTGATGTTGGCTGGGACTGAGAAAGTGCCCCTGTGTGTTTTTCCTGTCCCAGACAGAGAATTTTAGGCCACCAAGGATTCCAGCTTCTGACTTATCCTTGGGTCTCTCTAGACCAAGTTCTGGATTTTTCCTGAGATTTTGTCCAGTAATTCCATATTTTCATTAAGTTTCAAAAGCATTCTGTTTCACTGTGGGAGTAGGGGGAGAGAAAACTTTAAGATAAAAGCATTTAACATAAGAATTCTAATGTGCAAAACATTGGTTGAAGAGAATTCTTAGAATACTTGGTGTCTATATGAAAAGAAGCTCTGTTTACTATGGAAGAGTTCCTATGCAGGTAAGACTCTTATTCTATTTTCATTTGAATAGACAAGAATATTTCAGAATCTTATATTATTTCAAAAGCTTTAGAAATTTCACTAATTTAGCAAGACCAAATTTAGGAAAATATTATTTGGTGTCCCAATGATGTATATCACTTGTCAGAGTCTTTCTGTTTCTCTCAATAGAGTTGGAGGCTTATCATTATAATCTTTGTACTAAGGCTTTAGGATAGAGATAGGGTTTCATGAAGTAAACAGTACAAGGATATAAGGACCTTACATAATTTCATGTATTGCTTTTCCACAAAAAGCTTTCCTGGCAGCTATTCTGTGTTCGAACTGCATAAAAAACAGTGCATTATAGACATATGGTTTTGTGTAGCTGAAATGTAATTTTATTGTTATTTATTTATTTTTGGGCCTACCGCATGGGATCTAGTTCCCTGAAAGTGAAAGTGTTAGTCACTCCATTGTGTCTGACTCTTTGTGACCCCATGGACTGTAGCCCACCAGGCACCTCTGACCATGGGACTCCCCGGGCAAGAACACTGGAGTGGGTTGCCATTTCCTCCTCCAGGGGATCTTCCCAACCCAGGGACTGAACCCACACCTCCTGGGTCTCCTGCATTGCAGGCAGATGCTTTACCACTGAGTTACTAGTGCTCAATACAACTAATCCTCTCTTTCCAGGTCTCCAAGGAGGTAACACTGTATAAAGGGAAATGGGCTTGCAAAAGAGCAGGGATCTACAATTGGCCTCACCCTCTTCACAACCCTGGAACAGCTGAGTTGCAATTCTCTACTGTTCTAAACATCAGTAAGTCCATCAGACTTCCCTTGTTTTCTTTTCAGATGATGAGACTCCAGTTAGCCTGGAATTAATGATTAACAGTTGCTATTTGAAAATGTGGCTAAGTGCACCTTTGGCCAGCAGGCATCCTCATGTTGAGTTTGCCCAGTGGTTAAGGCACATGGGCAAATTTAAGTTCTCTAAGCTTCTCTCTGGGTCACTTGTTTGAATACACAGTAAAACAAGAGAGAAAAAAAAAATCAGTGTATTGAAAAAGCAAGCACCTCTACCAGAGTACATGTTTGATATGCAAAGATTTTAAGGAGTTTCACAGGCATTCTTCATAAGGAAACAGTGTTACATCACACTGGGAATCAGTAAAAGTAAATATTAAAGTTAAGTGAACAGTACCTGCAAAAACTCATTTAGAAGAGGATGGCCATTTTGGAAGACAAAAAACACTCTTATTAAGAATTGCAACAAACAAGGTGTTTCAGGTATGATTTCAAAAATTATCATTTAAGATGTCCCTCAAACAATTATTCCTTGAAGTTTCTTTTTCTGTGGAGTTAAAAATTTTTTACGATAGAGAATAAAACATGTCTGATTTAATATTTTGGAAGTTTTTAGTTAATATCCTAAGCAAGGTGGGAGGAGATTGCAGAATGAAAGAAGAGTAATAGTTTGTACTCAGTAGCAAGTATTTTAGAAATTAAAAAGATATTCAAGAATAATATATACACATCAGAAGATGATCTGTCTCATAGATTTCCCTTGAGACAGGAGAACTGTCTCAAGTTTTCCATAGAGATGTCAATTCAGGGCTTTGTGGGGATAAGTATGTGTGTATAAGACCAAGACAATCTAGGAATATATTTGCAACCTCATTTTAAAAATAGAAAATTTTAGAAGTAGAAAATCAGTTATAGCTTCTTTGATAGATTTAGAAAAGAAACTTCAACAGTGGAAAGAAAGGAAATGAATTGGAAGAGAAGATAAACATGGAAAAATTGAGATGGAGTGAGGGTCAGATGATCATGAGAAATGTCTGATTAATAGTGAGTTGGAAAAAAAATTAGTAAGTTGGAGGCAAAAAAGAGGGAGCGAAGGAAGGAAAGGGGACAACACTTCTCTCTAACTCCTTGGTTCCTCCCAATGGTGAACGTGTTGACCACTGCACAAATAACCATACTGAGGAATATTCTAGGATTGGGGGGAAAATAAAATTCAGCACTATGATAAGGAACTCTGTGAACACTATTGAATTATTTACTCCTCTCCCTCCAAATTTCTTGTAAACTCTGATGTCAGTAAATTAATTATGAATTCATGTCTTATGTGCTAAACATATGCACATTTTTTCATTTTTTGCAGGATGACTTTATTATATCAAATGGTACATTTCACTTTATTTGCCTCAGTTGCTGGTGGTAAGTAGACTTTTATATTTAGTGTGGACTGGAAATAGCTTGGTTCCCTGACTTGTGCATTAGAAAACAGGAGGGCATAAACCCCAAAGGGAAAATCACACATTGTCTTATTAATATTTTATTTAAGGAGGTCTAGTGGTGGGTCTAAACCTGCATGGTAATTACCATCAAACTAGTAATGAGTGATAATGATATTTTGAGATATCTGAAACTGTAGTGTTTTCAAATCTGCTATTTTTATTATGATGAAGGCACAGGTCCTGTGGACACTAATGCATTTTGCTCTTACACTAGTCATAGAAAGATATGCCATATTTTAGTTAGAAGTTAGTGAAAATAAAGTTGGAATTTCTCCCCATTTAAGTCCATGGACTACATAATCCTATAAGCCTCTAGTGATAATTTCTACTGTTCTTTACTTATGTACTTTTCCACATACTTACTGGCATGTTGATTATTACTGTGATAAAATCACTTATTTTTAGTTTTACCTATTTTTTTGTTGCTACAATAAGTTTGAGTTATATTTTGTTCTGACCAAATATTTAAATTTTTGTTATATATATGTATATATATATACTTATATATTTAAGGGTTGTATCTTAGTATTTGTCCAGGAAAATATACCAAGATTAAAAACTCCAATACATTTATTCAGTGATTAAATAATAATGACCTAAAAATCCACAATCTGGAATATTAGATGTTTCATTCTAGAAACATAAGAAAATTTCAATTTTATGTAATTTAGTTTTGTTTGTATTTTTAACTTATTTATGGTTTCAGTGGAAAGTGAAAGTGAAGTTGCTCAATCATGTCCGACTCTGCGACCCCATGGACTGTGGCCTACTAGGCTCCTCCGTCCATGGGATTTTTCCAGGCAAGAATACTGGAGTGGGTTGCCATTCCCTTCTCCAGGGGATCTTCCTGACCCAGGATTGAACCCGGGTCTCCCGCATTGCAGGCAGATGCTTTACCATCTGAGGCACTAGAGAAGTTCTTCAGTGGAAGGGGCTTCAGTAATTTTTCCAAGAGTCTAAAGTTTTTGTTACTAAAATGACCTGTTTATTTGTTTGGTTTTGTTTTATTAACACATAATTGATGTACAGCACTGTATATATTCAAGGTGTATAGCACAATGATTTTACTTACATACATCATGAAATGATGGCCACAATAGATTCAGTGACCATCCATCATCTCATATAGATACAACATTAAAGAAACAGAAAAAAATGTGTTCCTTATGATACAATCTCGTAGAATTTACTCTAATTTTCACATATAATGTACATCAATGTTAATCATATTTATCATGTTGTACATTACATTTCTGGTACTTATTTATCTTATAACTTGAAGTTTGCACCTTTCGACTTTTTTTTTTTTTTGGCCGTGCCATGTGGCATGCAGGGTCTTCGCTCCCCAGCCAGGAATCGAACCAATGCCCTCTGCATTTGGAGCACAAAGTCTTAACCACTGAACTGCCAGGGAAATCCCCCTTTTAACTATCTATATCCAATACTCTTTTCCTCCAGTGACTGTCTCTGGTATACACAAATCTGATCTCTTTTTAAAAAATGTTTGTTTTTAAGGTATAATTGATGTACAATGCTATGTTAAGTCCTAAAAACAAATGAACAAACATAATGAAACAGAAATAGAGTCATAGAAACACAGAACAAACAGGTGATTGCCAGAGAGGAGGTGGTAAGGTGAAGAGAGAAATAGGTGAGAGTGATTAAGAGGTACAAACTTCTAGCTGCAAAATAAATGATTCATAGTAATAAACTGTACAGTGTGGGGGATATAGTCAATAATTATGTACTATCTTTGTATGGTGACTGATGGTAACGAGATTTGTCATGATGATAAAATGAAATGTACAGAAATAACCAATCATTATGTTGTGCAACAGGAACTAACATAGTGTTGTAGGTCAACTGAACTGGTCCATTTAAAGAGTGAAGTGATATGATACCTTATCCCATCAAGGGCCATCAAACGCTACCCAAAGCAGTAGGTACACAAAGTTGAGTGGCTACCCAAAGGCTACACGGAGCCTTTGTTTCACACAAGCGTGGTGTTTAGACACAGAGAAGAGATGGGGAAAGGAAAAGCAGAGACCATTCTAGACCTAGATGGGGTCCTAGAGGGCATTTTTGCCAGAAAAGATCTGAGAAACAAATCAATTACTCGCAAAGCACCCACATCTCCAGACAATCACTCAGAAGCGCCGTTCTATTGAGATACACATGCCATTTTATAATTTTCTTTTCTATCTGTGGCTGCTTATCCAATAAACTAAAAGTGTTGATGGCCTTGATTTCTAAGTTCTGACATAGTTCCCATTAAGTAGACCTATTTCACTAGCCTTTTTGAGATTATTACCTGATCAGACATGTGCCCCATAAAATCCAAAATCACACATGTCATGTATTACAACCTAGAGTGTGTGACCACGCTGTTCCAAGATGCCTACTTTAAAGGAGGAGACATCACTGTGGTTTTCACGCCGAATGCCAAGCACTGCCAGATCGTCTGCACCCACCATCCAAGGTGTTTGCTCTTCACTTTCATGACTGAATCATCATCAGAAGATCCTACCAAGTGGTAAATGTTTGCTTTTCTGCATAGAGGAAATAGATTGTATGACAGACAATTACCAACAATGAATAGTCATATACCATTTTATAAAACTTAATGTGAACATTGGAAAATGTATCTTCGTTCAACTGAAATATTAAATATTTACAGGAGAAAGAGCAGCATTTAGGCAGGGCCGGAGGAACAGACATGCCCCTCAGTGTGGACTTTCCAACTTCTCTTGTGGTCTCAATATTGACGATACTCTCCATCTGATTTTTTTCTACTTTAAAGCCAGTTCATCATTTTGTTCTTTGCCTTTCATTGATTATTGATATTTTATATTATTCAAATTAGTACATTTCCCTCAATGATGTTATTAGAAAAAAATTCATTGTTTATAAAGGTAATTTGAAATAGTACAATGATTTCATATCATCCCAAGACTTTCTGCCATTTTTTTCTTCTCTATTAGGTATGTATAGATGTCTAATCATTTGAAATAATTTGAAGCCATCATAATATTTCACCCTTAAATATTTCAGCATACATTATCGTACACAAAAGACATTAAAAATTAACGAGAATCCCTTTATATCATCTCAGTTGTCCTTCCCATGTAATTTATGGCAATTAACCAGAATCTTATCAAGATTCACAAATTACATTTGGTGGTTTTGTCTCTATAGTCATATTCTTAAAGATCTTGGGACATTCCACCTACCATTTTTGTTTTCATATTGAGTTTAACATTTAATAATAAAGCTTTACTGCAGAATGACATTATCAACATCTTTATGCACTATTGCTGCATTCAGAGTATTTACATAGTTCCCTGAACTTATAAAATTTACTATTCTAGAATTTACGACTGAGGTTGGCAAAGTTTTTCTTAATAGGCAGAAAGTAAATATCTTAGGCTTTGTGGATCCAATAGCAAAATCAAGGATATTATATAAATACTTATATAATGATTCAAAATATAATCATTGAAAACTACAGAAACCATTCTTAGCTCATGAATTATATACTGAAACAGGCAGAGAGCTGCATTTAACCAAAAGGTCATAGTTCACCCACTCCTATTTCTTGTTTGGAAGGAAAATTTTATGTCCTCTTTCCAATGTCAGGATGTTGGAATGAAAACCAAACTCACAGTCTCTTAAGAAATATTTGTTTTGGCATGAGATAGAGGAGTTTGTTCCCTTCTCTTTGACTCTCTCTGGGCTGACTTTTAAGATCCATTATTTTAAAACATACATTTTCACCCAGTAATGTTATTTCTTTTAAAAAAAAACAACAGGTATACTTGCATCCTGAAAGACAGTGTTACAGAAACACTGCCAATGGTGAATATGACAGGAGCAATTTCTGGATATTCTTTCAAGCAATGCTTGCACCAAATAAGTGGTAAGATGTCTTTCTAGAATTGATATTTATTAGTTACTGTGATGTATACATGTAGTTACACCAGCTATGGTTTTATGGCTATAAAATAAAATCCTGTGGTATGGAAACAAAGCCTCTCAGTGAAGTACCCTTCACATAGAGTAAAAACGAGCACACATGCGTGTCTTCCCCACCACCGCATTATGTTCTGCTTATGCTTAATCAATCAGTCATGTTTTTGACATTTTGTGGCCCCATGGACATGCCCACCAGGTTCCTCTGTCCATGGAATTTTCCAGGCAAGAATATTGGAGGAGGGTGCCATTTCCTACACTACAGGACTTTTCCGACCCAGGGATAGAACCCCTATCTCTTGTGTCTCCTGCATTGGCAGGTAGATTCTTTACCACTAATGCCACCTGGGAAGCCCCACCCTATTACAGTTCATTAATATTTACCTCATCAGACACATCCAACTACATCAGTTCATCATTCATTTTTCCCCCCTCTCCTTTCCAGCTTAAAGTTTTATATCAAAGTCCTTATTAAATATATTAATTCAAATCAAGGAAAGCAGCTATAAAGGTTGAGATGACACTTGCCATAATAGTGAAATAGATACTAGTATAGGTTAACTAGTGAATCAGTCCATTAGTGGAGTTAAGGAGACAAGAGAGGCCAGTTCATAAAATTGAAGCAGAAATGTTCATCTCATATTGCTGCAGTGTAAGAAGGACCCTGGCATTCTCTTACTGTTTCCAAGGAAGAGTAGGAATTAAGTAGATTAAAATGAAACTAGAGGATTTCTGAGAAAAAATCAGTGAAAGAGTGAAAGAGTAAGTCTGGAGGAACAGTGGCTGAGATTGAATTATCAGACTTGACCCCAGAGACTGGAAAATAATCATATATTCTGATTTTATTTCCAGCTTGCAACAAAGATGTGTATGTGGACCTAAACATGAAGGGAATGAACTATAATAGCTCTATTACCCAGAGTGCTCAGGAATGCCAAGAGAGGTGTACAGATGACACGCATTGTCATTTTTTTACATTCGCCACAAAACACTTTCCAAGCATAAAGGATCGGTGAGTGAGCTGTGGACTGATGGAAAACAAAATGGAATTCTTTTTTTTTCCTATCAACTTGATGTCAAATTTTATTTTTAACCCATACAAGACAATTCTAAAAATACTAATACTATAGATTTTTTGGTGAAAAATGTATTTAAAGTTCAACTTGGATGCACTTCCTTTTATAATACAGAATCAGCTTTTCAATGACACTTACCAAAAATGTTAAATCCACCTCCTAGCTAATTTATTATTGTTGTTGTTCAGTCTCTTAAGCTATGTCTAACTCTTTTGTGACCCCATGGACTATAGCCCGCCAGGCTCCTCTGTCCATGGGATTTCCCAGGCAAGAATACTGCAGTGGGTAGCCATTTCCTTCTCCAGGGGATCTTCCTGACCCAGGGACTGACCCTGTATCTGCTGCTAATTTATAGAGTGTTACATTTTTTAATTGGCAATTTTAAAAACAGTTGCAATGGTCAGTCAGTTCCATTCTCAGCCTAAAGGGTGCTACAGTCTGAACTTGTAGAATCAAAAAGAAAAACCTACTTAGATATCCTCCCAAATAACAGTTCCCCACCTGAGACAAAGTAACTGAAACCAGTGTGAAATACTTTAAAACTTGTCCCCATACTAGATTTTGAAATATTCCAGGGATAAATCTATTATGTAAAAAATATAAGAGGATCTGATTTGAAACGGATTAACCTCTTTTCTCTTAAGAAATATTTTTAGGGAAAATATCATTAATTTTTAATTTAGAAATATTTGAGATATTCCGGATTTGTATAGGGAACTACAATTATCTGGAGCTTCCCAGGTGACTCAGGGGTAAAGAATCTGCCTGCAATGCAGGAACCATAGGAGGTGTGAGTTCAGTTCCTGGGTTGGGAAGATCCCCTGGAGAGGGAAGGGGCAAACCTCTCCAGTATTCTTCCCTGGGAGATTCCATGGACAGAGGAGCCTGGCAGGCTACAAGTCCATGGGGTCGCAGAGAGTCGGACATGACCGAAGCGACTTAGCACACACATGCAGTATGCTTATCTGAAATCCAACAATGAAAGAAGAACTCAAAATGACTAGTATTTGGATTTTAACATTCACAAAAGAGATGGGAGAAAATAAAGTGTTAAAGATTTACTTGAAGAAAAGCACTGAATGATAACACAAGATGAAGCTCTCAAATCAATAATTAAGATTTTGTGGTTTATCTTTAGCTCAACTCAAACCCACCTTTTTACATATTTTATGTGTTAAGATTCAATGCAAATTGAACAGCAAGCCAGGACTTTGGAAGTTGCTAGGTATTATTTGAAAAGGTAAAATGCTAAAATTGAGGTGAGCTTGAGAAGTCTTTAATCCCTACATCTCCACTCTTGATGTCACTACCCATCTAAAGCTGTCATTTTACTGATGAAAAAATAAAACTGACAAAATTCACAGGACCACCAGCTCCCAGCAGAGACGGGACTCAAGAGCAGCTGTCTAGTCTCTCAGATCAGTGTTTTCCGAGCAATTCTTTAGCTTCCACGCACAGGCCATCTCTAAATGTGAATTTTTTATTATATTTTTCCTTACTTGCGTTTGGAGGGATAAAATATTTTTCCATTTTGGTCTTTATTCAGTAACATTTGTCTGTTGAAGAACACCCAAACAGGGACACCAAACAGCATAACGAAGCTCCGTGAAGTGGTATCTGGATTTTCTTTGAAGTCCTGCGGCCTTTCTAATCTGGGTAACTACTATTTTCTTAATGAGGTAGTTTAGCCATTTAATGCTAATGATATGTACAATGGGCCTTACTTAGGATACCAATTTGGGCTCACTGATGAAAAATGGACCCATTGACCTTTTATCTTCCTCGTGAGAAAAAAATTCATTATGTTCTATATGATTAAAATTTATGTTGGAATTTAAAGCTTAAAACAATCACTTCAGTTATCCTAATTGTAAAAAGTGTAAAAGATCTTGGGATAAACAAATCTTTAAAAGTTACTAGTAAGACCTTGTTTCTTTAGAGCAGTTTGAGGCTCGCAGCAAAATTGAGAGGAAAGGATAAAGTTATTTCCTGCCCAGACACGTAGTCAGCCTCCCCTATTACCAGCATCCCTCACCAGGAGGTACATTTGTTACAACTGATGAACCAACATCATAATCACCCGAAGTTCACAGTTTACATCACGATTCACTCTTGGAGTCGTACATTGTATGGGTCTGAACAAATATAGAGTGGCATGCTTCCATCATCAGAGCACCATTCAGAATATTTTCACTGCCTTGAAATTTCTCTGTGTTCTGCCTGTTCATCCCTCCCTCATCTCCCAACAAATTTTTATATGGAATTTACGAATACTGTGAGTAGGGTTTTACCTTTACTGACACTACCAATGAACTGACCTTCTGAATATGATTTCTTCTGTCGTGCAGCCTGTATTAGGGACATTTTCCCTAGAACGGCGTTTGTGGACATTACCACTGACACGGTCATGGCCCCAGACCCCTTTGTCTGCCGCAGCATTTGTACTCACCATCCCAGCTGTCTGTTTTTCACCTTCTTGTCTGAAGAATGGCCAACAGCATCTGAAAGGTAAGCAGCTAAGATTAAGGGTCATGTGTTACCTTTTAAAACAGTTGATCAAAACCCACCCTTGAAAATTCTGAGCAACTACAAATTTTATCTAAATGTCTGTCTAGAATAGATAAAAACTGCAAGGAAGAATCCTAGCTCCTCTCTTTCCATTTCCCACTTACTGACCACAGGACTCTTGCTTTTCTTTAAGTTAGGGAGGTCTTTGCCTTCAGCAAAAGGAGAGAGACAGAGGATGAGATGATTAGATAGCATCAGCCACTCAATGGGCATGAATTTGAACAAATTCCGGGAGATAGTGAAGGACAGGGAAGCCTGGTGTGCTGCAGTCCATGGGGTCCCAAAGAGTTTGACACAACTGAGTGACCGAACAACAATGACAAGAACGAGAGAGTTGCTAGTTCTGAATAGAAGGAAGAAAGTAATGACAGTCACTAGAGGTATCTCAGGCCAATGCCTGGGTTAAGATCATTGACCCTGGAGTACAAAGAGCTGGAAATAGCAGTGACCTGTCAAATCCAAAGTGGAGAGGGGTGGAAACGATGGCCTTCATCAAAAGAATTGGGGATAATGCTGGAGGAAGCTTTGAGAATTTAGGCCATTTCCCTACTGATGGATATTAACACAGGAAACTGTAATAAAAGCATGGGAAATTGCTATGATCATCAAAAGGATGTTTGTTGCCCCCATTAACAAAATTCACTTAAAAAATCGTCTTAAGACTGCTTAAAAATCTAGATTGTAGGTATTATCTGAATCTGAATTCTCAGAGTCCTTGGCATTTGCTTGACATGGCTGTTCATTCCTGGGGAGAGTGTCCCCCAGAGCAATTCAGCCAAAATAAGCCCTTGAACTCCTGTCCATCAAGAAGACTGGTTTTTTATGGAGGGAGTGGAAGGTTGTTGTTAGGGTTAGGGTTAAGGTTGTTGCTGACACATGAAAAGACGCCGGGATTCTTGGCCTCTGGAGGAGACGAATTGAATCCAGAGCCAGAGACGAGGCTTGATTGCTCAGAGCTTTTGTGTAATCAAGTTTTATTAAAGTATAAAGGAGATAGAGAAAGCTTCTGACATAGGCATCAGAAGGGAGCAGAAAGAGTACCCCCTTGCTAGTGTTAGCAATGGAGTTATATACTCTAATTAGTTATTACAATGAATCAAAAGAATGTCTGGAGGTTGTAAAGACCTCCCATAATTTACATTTTAAGATAACAGGATTAGCCAGAAGGTTTTTTCCAGAGACTGTCCTCAAGCAGGATACATTATTGTTATATAATCCTAAGGAGGGGAGGAGCCAAGATGGCAGAGGAATAGGATGGGGAGACCACTTTCTCCCCTACAAATTCATCGAAAGAACATTGAACGCTGAGCAAATTTCACAAAACAACTTCTGATCGCTAGCAGAGGACATCAGGCGCCCAGAAAAGCAGCCCATTGTCTTCGAAGGGAGGTAGGACAAAATATAAAAGATAAAAAGGAAGTCAAAAGAGCTACGGATGGAGACCCGTCCCAGGAAGGGAGTCCTGGTGAGAGGAAGTTCCCAATCACCAGGAAACCCTCGCACTGGCGGGACTGGGGGAAGTTTTCGGCAATCTAACTGGGAGGAAAAATTAAACAAGGCCCACAGATTACGTGCCTAAAAGCAACTCCCAGCAGAAAAGTACCCCAGACGCCCGTACCCGCCAGCAACAAGCGGGGGCAGAACGGAGAGGAGCGGGCGGCATTGCTTAGGGTAAGGACTGGCCCTAAGACCCTGGGAGCAATCGGAGGGAGCTTTTTTAAACTGTGGGATAGCAAGGGTCAAAATTAACTGGCCCGAACACACTGCCGGCGGTTCGCAAAACAAAGGGACTGAGAAAGTCCAGAGAAGAGCCGGCCCATCCCCGGTGGAGGTAGGAGGCAGGGGGGAGGGGAAAAGGGCAAACTCAGCCCCTGAGAAGCCACCCCCTCCCACACTGCAAACAGGCCCCCGGGTCCTATCTAAAGACTTCCTGAGACCCGGCTGGCGGCGCGCGCTGGGGCCGCGGAGGGAAAAGGCGCGCCGTACCCGGGGAGATTGCGCCCAAGCCTCTGGCTGCCTGAGCTGCCCGCCGCGGAGGGAAAAGGCGCGCCACATCCGGGGAGAGTGCGCCCAAGCCTCTGGCTGCCTGAGCTGCCCGCCGCGGAGGGAAAAGGCGCGCCGCATCCGGGGAGAGTGCGCCCAAGCCTCTGGCTGCCTGGGCCGCTCGACGCGGAGGGAAAAGGCGCGCCGCACCCGGGGAGAGTGCGCCCAAGCCTCTGGCTGCCTGAGCTGCCCGCCGCGGAGGGAAAAGGCGCGCCGTACCTGGGGAGAGTGCGCCCAAGCCTCTGGCTGCCTGGGCCGCTCGTCGCGGAGGGAGGAGGCGCGCCGCACCCGGGCGGGGAGAGTGAGCCCAAGCCCCTGGCTGCCTGAACCGCTCAGGCCGGGGAAGACACAAAACGCAGGCGCAACCGAATCTGCGCTTTTGTGGAGTACCCGAAAACTGGAACCGCACTCAACGCAGGGCCCGCTCCATAAAGAGCAGCCGGGAGCCTGAGCAGTGTAGATGGCGAAAGCACTGACACCCGTGAGCGGGGCAAACCCAGTGTGGCCGGAACACGGTGAGTGCTGTCCACACAGAGCGGTGTCTGTCTGCAGCGCCCCGCCCTCCCCGTAGCAGGACTGAACTGAACTAGAGAACCTAAATAAGAGATCACCTCCGCCCGCCTGTGTCAGGGCGGAAATTAGACACCAAGGAGACGGCAAACAGAAGCCAAATAAACAAAGGGAACCGCTTCAGAAAGGACTGGTGCAACAGATTAAAATCCCTGAAGGTAACACTGACTACACCAGAAGGGGCCTACAGATATCGAGAAGTGTAAGCTGGAAAGAGGAGCTATCTGAAATTGAACTGAACCTACGCTGACCGCAACAACTCCAGAGAAATTCCTAGATATATATGTATATATATTTTTTTAATTAAAAAAAATTTTTTTTCTTTCCTTTTTTTAAAATTTTTTATTTTTTTCTCTTTTATTTTCTTTTAAAATTCCCTATTACTCCCCCATTACTCCTCAACTTTCATTTTCATATATTTTTACGATTTTTTTAATTAGGGAAAAAAATTTTTTTTTCTTGTTTTTCTCTCCTATTTCCTTTTAAAGTCCTCTAATACTCCTCTATTATTCCTTAATTTTCATTTTCATTTCACTATAACCTTGCCAAAAAAAAAGAGAAACCCTATTTTTAAATCAAACTTCATATACATTTCTAAATTTTTTTGTGTTTTTGTTTTTAAATATTGTATTTCAAAGAGTCTAACCTCTACACTAGATCTTTAATCTTTGTTTTTCAGTAGTATGTGATATAAATTTTGGTCATTTAAGAATCCAATATTCAGTTCCCATTTCTATTCAGGAGTGTGGTGATTACTCTCCCACTTTTGACTCTCTGTTTTCTACCTCGGAACACCTCTATTTCCTCCTTTCCCCTTCTCTTCCCAATCCAACTCTGTGAATCTTTGTGGGTGTCTGGGCTACGGAGAACACTCTGGGAACAGATAACTGCGTAGATCTGTCTCTCTCCTCTTGAGTCCCCTTTTTCTCCTCCTGATCACCTCTATCTCCTTCCTCCCTCTCCTCTTCTTCATGAAACTCTGTGAACCTCTCTGGTTGTCTCTCACGGTGGAGAATCTTTTCACCATTAACCTAGAAGTTTTATTATCAGTGTTGTATAGTTGGAGAAGTCTTGAGACTATTGGAAGAATAAAACTGAAATCCAGAGGCAGGAGACTTAAGCCCAAATCCTGAGAAAACCAGAAAACTCCTGATTACACGGAACTTTAAGGAATAAGAGACCATCCAAAAGCTTCCATACCTACACCAAAACCAACCACCACCCAAGAGCCAATAAGCTCCGGTACAAGACATACCACGCAAATTCTTTAGCAACGCAAGGAACATAGACCTGAGTGTCAACATACAGGCTCTCCAAAGTCACACCAAACACATAGACCCATCGCAAAACTCATTACTGGACACTCCATTGCACTCCAGAGAGAAGAAATCCAATTCCACGCACCAGAACGCTGACACAAGCTTCCCTAACCAGGAAACCTTGACAAACCAATCGTCCAACCCCACCCACTGGGTGAAACCTCCACAATAAAAAGGAACCTCAGACCATAAGAATACAGAAAGCCCGCTCCAGACACAGCAATCTAAACAAGATGAAAAGGCAGAGAAATACCCAACAGCTAAAGGAACATGAAAAAAGCCCACCAAGTCAAACAAAAGAGGAGGAAATAGGGAATCTGCCTGAAAAAGAATTTAGAATAATGATAATAAAAATGATCCAAAATCTTGAAAACAAAATGGAGTTACAAATAAATAGCCTGGAGACAAAGATTGAGAAGATGCAAGAAATGTTTAACAAGGACCTAGAAGAAATTTTAAAAAGTCAGTTAAAAATTAATAATGAAATAAATGAGATCAAAAACACTCTGGAGGGAACCATGAGTAGAATAACAGAGACAGAAGATAGGATAAGTGAGTTAGAAGATAAAATGGTGGAAATAAATGAAGCAGAGAGGAAAAAAGAAAAAAGAATCAAAAGAAATGAGGACAACCTCAGGGACCTCTGGGACAATGTGAAACGTCCCAACATTCGAATCACAGGAGTCCCAGAAGAAGAAGACAAAAAGAAAGGCCATGAGAAGATACTCGAGGAGATAATAGCTGAAAACTTCCCTAAAATAGGGAAGGAAATAGCCATCCAAGTCCAAGAAACCCAGAGTCCCAAACAGGATAAACCCAAGGCGAAACACCCCAAGACACATATTAATCAAATTAACAAAGATCAAACACAAAGAACAAATATTAAAAGCAGCAAGGGAGAAACAACAAATAACACACAAAGGGATTCCCATAAGGATAACAGCTGATCTATCAATAGAAACCCTTCAGGCCAGAAGGGAATGGCAGGACATACTTAGAGTAATGAAA